CATAATTAGTATATGACGTAACTCGTGAACAGAATGTCTAGCAGTAGAGAGACAAGAGGATCGAACAGTAAAGAATAGGAACAGAATGCAATTTGTATGAAAAAGCAAGAACAATGAAGTCTGAGTCATTATGAGACAACTAATGGACATTTTGCAAATTACGTATTTACTATTTGATTGTTAGATTTTATTAACAAGTCCTGTAGTTGGTGTTAAATACATTCGATTGTCCCCACTGATGTTCTTGTTCACTACAGTGTAAGTAACTGATTAGTGTTTTGTTAAATTGATCCATCACTGTCTAATTGGTATCGACTTTTTATTCACATATATTGGTGTAGGGTCCTGATGAAGAATTAATTAGAAAGAAATATCTATTAGCTCAATTGTCTCTTAAATGTCTCAGTGGAAATATTTAATGAATTAAAATCATGCAAATGTTATGTTTTATTTATTTCCTTTTAGTAATTAATGCAGCGAGATTATTCTATGATGGTCAGTGAGAATTATACTCAATTATTATTTAAGCGAAAGTTCATCTGACCTGAATACTTTGAAAAACATTTCTCACACATAAAAAATACATAGACACATAAATCGGTGCACACACTGAATCTCGGTGTTAGGGTACATGATAATCACTATTATATCACATTTTTGTTTAGAATTGAATAAATTAAATGTAAACGTAGGACTCAAGTATATGTACTTAACAATTCTAAACTATCAGCGTTTCATCATTCTACTTACTGTTCTTATTCAGTGGTATACAATATATCGTTTTTTGAATAGGCAAAATGATAAGTAATTAACAATTTATGTTAAAATTAATAATTACTGATATGATACCATAGTTACAATCCCATGTTGGTAAATTTTACGGAATCCATGTTTTAAAAGTAGAAATCAACAGAAAAACAAAGTCACCATGGAGATATTTTGTTTAAACTGAGTAAATGACGATAAAGTGATGTAGTCATTAGATTAGTGAATAGCTGAGTGGTATTTAAACGACACAATGGTAGCTTACTATGTTATATATATATATATATTGTTTATTTAATTTACCCTTTCTGACCTTATAGATTATTTATCCATTGATGTAAATTGTTCATATATACCATTTCAGTGTATTGACGCAAAATATTATCATTAAAATAAAATAAAAATCTCGTTAAGAGCAAGCCGAATCACTGAGTTAAGAAAAATCAGACATCTGTAAAATATGAAAAAGGTACATTAAAAACACTATTTGCGCATGTTCCTTGAAATGTCCCTTACAAACTTTATCGTCCTTCAGTCCCCGTTGATATTTTGATTACCTTCTGTTTTCCTTCCATTCTTCTTCATTTTCTTCTTCTATCCGTATGAATTCTACCTTCGATTCCTGATACATACTACTTATATCTGTCTGTACTAATAGTTCACACCAAATTATTAGTGAGCAAAATCAATTAGACTAATGTTTGATATCTTAACATGATTGAAAAATCGTTTAATACAGAGCTATTTTGGGAAGTCCTGCTTAAATTCAATAATTATAATTTTTGGTTAACTCGCTAAACAAAATCTGACCACACTCTGTAGTGAAACATTAGTTATTTTCAGCTTCAATGTTTGAAACGTCTACGGCTATAATTTTCTTTTCAATGTCTTACATACACAGAGCACTAATTAATTGTGAAACTATCCGTCTAAATTAATGCGGAAACTTTTATAAGGTTAAATACTGAATATGCTATCTGATATATTTAGATTAGCTAACTGAGCCATTACTCATAATAAGATTATGACGTTGTTATAAGCAGGTAAACAAAAACTCATCTTGAGTGTTATGTGGTTATGAACATAGTCTCTATACTATGTATATATTTAATAGAGTAAAAGCATAAAACTATTTGGAACTTACCATTACTGGGCGGCCTGCTTGAGCATCTGGGCTACCTGTTCCTGCCATCTAGATATTTCAACAAGTTATCTATTTTTGTTTTTTTTAATATATCATTATGTTTATTAATCGCATGATCTATTCTGCTGCGTTTCTGAAAAGTGTACAACCTTTCGTTGTCAAAGTTACAAAAAACTCAATAAGAGCCAATGTGGTTGCTGGCAATATACAGCGAAAAGAATGCACATTATTCAGATGTTCATTTAGTGAACTGCTAACATCTAACTGGCGATCATTCGGTATTTATCGCCAGAACCGACCAAGAAGAAAGAAACGGAAACTTGTTGGAATACTTTACACTGAGAATTCTATATTGTACCAAAAATATAATATTAAATAAAGCTGATGATAATAATAATAATAAGTAATAATCGTATTCCAAATATAACATTTAACTTACTTCCTAAATACGAGTCCAATTGCTTGGCTTTAAGTCATACTTCTTTGAACGAATGTTATGGACAGTAACTGCCCACTCAAACCATGTTAATTGGCGCAGGATAAACGCCATTAATCTAATGATCAAGAAATTTAATCATTAGAGCTTTTTTTTCTAATGCAAGTAAACTTGAAGTATTTGTCAGACAATAAAATAACTATCTAAAAATTCATAACCGTTACAGGTGGACTATATATAAATAATTTTATCGCCATACAATCGAAAATTCACTAAAGTAAGGAAATATTCACCATCGGTCTATTCTCAAAGTAAAACACTATGTCTATGAATGTGATACTATGTATATTGAGCGATCGATACTGAAATGTTCAATCTTCCATTTCCTGTTCTTATAAACAATCCATTTAATGAATTTTACTAGTCACTAAAACATTTAATTAGATTAACTACTAAATTATTGAAGCTATTTAAAGAACGAATATCCTGATACATGGACATTATAACAGATTTAGCGAATGTTTTGTAAAATTAAATAAAACTTAAAGAAGAGGTTATTAAAGATTAACAGATGTTTCTAATGCTTACATTATAGAAATTGGAGAAAGCATTTGTTAAAGTGATAAACCAACGAATTATTTATTGTTATATTCCATGTTTTAACAAACTACGAGTGAATGCTTTGATTCACTATTGGGCAGTATTACTACTTATGAGTATTGGATAAAAAGATTTGTCAAGAAATGATAAAAATCTTTAACATTATTATAATCGACTAAATAGTCTTCAAAATGATAAATTATACCTGTATAGTTAATCGATTGTACGACTTAAGCCATAACATAAAAATCTAATGATATTCACCAATAAGTTGTTGCCTACTTCTTACTACTAAATCATGTAAGTTGAAAAACAGCTGAAAACAAAACAGTAGGAACTGAATATCTGTTTCATTCTAACCTAAAACTCATCTGAACTGTCAACTCATGAACGTAATCAATTAGATTTATACTTTGACTAACTGTTAGTGTGCTAACTTTAAATTCATCAGTTTACAGCAGTTAAAATTAAGAATAGATTTGAACCTATACAATTTAAAAATTATCATAAGGGGTTTTGTGGAGATTTTAGAAATTTTCACTGATTGAAATCATGAATCAATTGAAGCTAGACCACCATGGAAAATCTGGAAGCACTGGACGGCCGTCTCGTCCGAGTATGGGACTCCTCAGTAGTGCGCATCCACGGTCCCACACCCCGCGAGATTCGAACGCAGGACCAATCAGTCCAGTGCTTCTAAGTTTTCCATAGTAGTCTAGCTTCAATTGACTCATGATTTTAATCAGTGAAAATTTCTAAAATCTCCACAAAACCCCTTCTGATAATAATAATTATCTGCTCATTAGTGACTGACTTCAAGAGATACTCCTGGAGTTCTAGTGAGAAGCCGTTACCAGTGGAGTTCAATCAGGTCTGTTGTGGAATATTAGCTCACTGATGACAATGGTGTACGGCGGCGCAACTTCGTGGATTGTTTGAAGTTAGACATTAACACCGTTGGATGCCGGCTCAGTGGTCTAATTACAAACTAAGTCTAATATAAGAGAATCAGTATAGACTAAACAAAGCTAGGTGGTTATTGTCACGTTTCGTTTTAAGTAGTACTTCATTAGATTATAGATCGTCATCATATTATTTCACTTCTTCGCTTCGCAAAAGAAGAAACACTTTATATTCATTTAGTTTATTCCATATTTATACGAATCACATTTACTGCTAGTAAATGATGGTTTTTGTTTTTAGTAGTTCACTTGTGATGATGATAAAGATCCCTTATTAAAATTGAAGATCTTATTTATTATATTGTTGGGTGTATGGTCTGAATAATTTACTTTTAGCATTAATTAAATGAAACAAATGCATTCACTGAGGTATAATTTTAGGTTTGAGTATACAATCCATCTTTCATGCAGTTATATTAAATAAAGCATAAGTCTGTGTTATCAACCGCCCCATTTTCAGTTAATATAATTTTAATTAAATCACACAAAATCAGTATTTCAGTAAATTATCAGTATGAACACTATCACATAGTCTTAGTTACATTCAGCTAGCAAATACTAAATAAGAGGAAATACAAGTTTCGAATATTACTGCCAAACATTATGAGACCATGATAAAAACTTGTGATCAAGCGGGAATGTCGAGACAATCCACTCAGCAGGTATATATCCCAACAGAGATTGATCATTTGCAATCCTCAACATCAACAAAAGGAGAATAAAAACCTGAAGAAACAATAATCAGTATGTGTATTTATTACCTATTTGATGAACATACATTCACATGCAGAGTTTCTTCAAGTTTGTTACATATGGAAGGCATCTGTTAATTTGGAATAGATATTTTTAATAAATCCCGTTATATATGAAAAGATATTAACCACTGACTATGAATAATTTGTTAGTAAGAAATTAAGTAATGCCAAATGAATGTGCCATACAGTGTTAGCATTAGCTTCAAGATGAAGGTACATTACAATCACCACATTAAATATTATATAAACAATTAACCAAGTTTGAGAAATTTGTCCATAGTTCATTGTATACCTTTACTCCCATAGTATTATTTGATTATTTTTCACAATTTATATAGGTATCAAATAAGACCACTGTATTTCTGTCAAACTGGATTATGATAATTTGGATTTATTGTAAGTTTACATTGATTAATCACTAGCTAATGATTAATGTCATGTTGGTCGAACCCTTTAACACTAATCCAGTGGCATTCATTAGGATCAGATAAACATGACATCGTTTAATATTCAGTGATCAATCAGTGTAAATATTTTAGTTTTAAATGATGATCGGTTACGAACTAAATAGTTTAGTGGCATTGTCTCAGAATATATCACTGATTTATACTAATAAGAATATGACCGACCATGAGGTGTATCAACTTTTACAACGTAATAAATACACGTTTATAACAATATCCAGCTATTATATAACCTTACATTCGATTACATTCAGTCATTTATTATCAAAAATCAATAGCATTCTCTTTTTTTAATTTTATCGTGTCCACATTAAAATTATATTGTTTCTTCGATTCCCTTTAACTATCATTTTTTAATAAAACATCAATAAAAGTTACTAGTTGAAGTTTTGTTATCCCATCAAATTATTTATTCAACTTTCAATCAGCCTCTTTTCCTTGAGGAGTTCTTCACTTGCGGAAAAGAATTTCCTAATTAAAAGTTTCAACAACAGTTATCAGTGAACTTAAGTAAAAGGAGTATTTGACAGTTCTACTGATATTAGTATCTTGCTAAATTTATTCAGATATATATATAAGTTTATTATTATTAATAACTGCTTTATTCAATGTTAAATTTTTCGGTACAATATGGAATTCTCAGCACAAAGTATTTCAACAAGTTTCCTTTTCTTGTTTTTTGATCGATCCTGACGATAAATACTAAGTGATCCCAAGTTAAATGTTATCAGTTCTGAAATCGGTATCTGAATAATGTTCATCCTTTTCAATGTATATTGTCAGCCACCACAATATCTTTGATTGTACTTTTTGTAACTTGTATAGCGAAAGATCGTAAAGTTTTCATAGACGCACAAAAAAAGAAACAAATAATTTGTTGAAATATCCATATGGCAGGAACGTGTAGCCCAGATATTCAAGAAGGCTGCCAAAGATATATAAAATATACTGCTCTTCACTACTTTGTATATGACTCTATAAATGGCTTTAGATATAATACTGTATTTAATAGCATTATTTCTGACTGTTCATATAACCAAATAATCGAGCTTACCTGATGTAAATCATTCTTTTTTACTTTTAAGGTGATTGACAATATTTACAATTCATAAGGGGAATGGCAAAGGTGTTGTTTTTTTTCTGAGCCAGGTGATCTAAACATCAGTATAAGCTGTTAACCCTTTATTTGGAAAATTTCATGAACTTTCTTTTAAATTGATTACTGATAATGACGTTGTTCAAAAAGACTATGGAAGACTTCATCTGGTTCGCAGAAGATTACATCTTCAAAGTCTTTTTACCCTATTAATATCGTCCATCTCAACTATTACGCAATTTAAACGTAATTATGATTAGACTAATGTTTAAAGATAGTTCTTTAATGGGAAAATTTGAAATGTAGTCTAAAACTATCGTAATGGTAAATATTTAAACATTGGGAGTGATTATGAAAGTATCCTAGCTTTATGATTTTTTGAAGAAATTATTAATAATCGATTAAAATATTAATCTATATGATGTGTATATGGGTTATCATTCTTAAATTAAGCATTGAGTGTTACTTATCAACGTGAATGGCAAATTAAAATCATTAGAAGATTCTAGGATGATAATTGTTTATTGTTTAAAGGTTGGTGTAGATAACACCTTTCAATTTAAAGATAAGTTCATTCAACCTTGTGAAGGCAGTTCACATGATTACTACTGACTGAGTAAAAGTTTGTGATAAGGTAACACCTGAATCAACAAACTCGAGTGAAGTTCGTTAGGGTTGCACTCTAGCCCTCTTTTTGTTTGATTTCCTCAAAGATGAACATACATTCTTCGTCCTACTTTCCAGAGATCTACCCCCGTACTAAAAATTAAAATCCCCAAATGGGATAGTCTTATTCAGTGAAAATAATGTCAGAAATTTTAGTCTCCTGAAGGTCTTGAGTAGAAATATTGGCATGTTTTGGCGTTTACCTGCCTTCAAATCCCAAATGTTGCTTAATCAACACCAAGATCAATCAACAGAGACTGATAAATTGCAGTTCCTAACACCTACAATGGGAAAGTAGGAAACCTTAAAATCTAAAAAACGCTGATATTCAGATTTTTTCGTCAAAGTTTCTTCATTATTCCTCCTAATACATTTAATGTTATGCAACCTATACGTATTATACTATTATTGCTTGGCTTTTATAAACGATTCTAACTTACTAGTATAGAATCATGCGGTTGAGGATTGCTTATCAATTTTTGCTGTAATATTCAATAACTCAGATAAATAAGACGATAACGTAAACCAGATTATACATCAGACAGTATACGTAATAAACTCTGTTTAGCTTCATACAATTTTACCTAACTATTAGCTCTTCTATGAAAATAAATTGAATTTTAAATAAAACTAATAATAATTATTATATCCATTTCCACTTTTTATTCCATTGGAATAGGTGATTCTGATGAAATGGATAACAAATTAGATGTTTATTCAATAACTACTGCTCTATGGGGTTCAGTATATACAGTGAATTTTGTAGATACTTCAGCTGAGAACTGTGAAAAAAATCTTGTAAGCGTGTATTTATAAAATTAACTAATAACTGATTTTTCAACATTCTTCCACTTAATTATATTGTTTTAAGAATAAATTTTACTTTCAGAAGGGATTTTGTGGAGATTTTTAGAAATTTCATTAGATGAAATCATGAGTCAATTGAGCTAGACCACTATGGAAAACTTAGAAGCACTGGACTGATTGGTCCTGTGTTCGAATCTCGCGGGGTGCGGGACCGTGGATGCGCACTACTGAGGAGTCCCATACTCGGACGAGACGGCCGTCCAGTGCTTCCGGATTTTCCATGGTGGTCTAGCTTCAATTGATTCATGATATCAACTATTGAAATTTTACCTTATTAAAATTATAAATGAAGAATGACAGTATTTCTAACTGTATGTGGATTAGTTATATATTATAAACCCATGTTCACGCTATTTGAATTTTTTTTCCAATATGGTCGGAATTCAAAGCTTATGAGGTGAACGAGGTTGGTGGTACACAGTTTAAATGAGCTTGACAACTTACTGATGAAATATTCTTCTTGAATTTTATTTTAATGATGTTGACTACAATAGAAATAAAAGCCTCATGATTGAGTTATCCAGGTTGATGAAATGAGCATCCACAATGTGTTTCTATACATAATCCTGTTTTATTATTCATATTCATGCGTTAAATACATCTCTTATATACAAATAGTTTGAAGCTATCATGATATCATCATATTTAAAAAGATATTTATCGAGGTTTTTAATTTTCTGATCACTGAAATACAGACTAAAGGTTCTTTTCATTTAACAACTATTTTGAAAAAAAATATTTACTCCATGTAGACACAGTTGGTATTTGTTCTGTTATCAGTAAGTGAAGACTGAAATTATAAAATTTGAATTGTTAACATAGTGGAAACCATATTCCCTCGGTCTAAAGCCATTGGTTTAGTTTTCTAGAAACATTTCAACGCAATTTAACTACTTATGATACATTTATTTCTAATATTTTAAACAGAAGGATAAAAAACCAATTTATATATGAAATGGTGTTAGGCATGAAATGAAAGCTTATATAACGAGGGTAAAATTATTCAGGGAATTTCGCTTTCCATAAGCCATGAAACTTTCACTATCTATTCAGATAACATTGTCAATATGAGATGTTTCAAAAACGACTTGATCTTCAAATCAAAGATAAAAATCACTTCAATTTCAAGCTATTTCTCACTTGTAGAGAGGTTCTTATCATTTAGGTTTTTAAGTACATCTCGAAAAACAAATAGAAGGTTCATAATTAACGTAACTACTTCAGAAAGACGAGCGTAACCGAGATCTGCTTCCTAAGCTACAAATCTTCTCAGTCACCGGAAACGATGTATTTTGCATATTATGTGCAGAATTTATTTGTATAGAACAAAAAAGGCGTCCATATACTTTTAATTTTCTTGACTGTATTTGTGGACTTCATATCATTATTTTTTAATAGTAAGATCACACAAGTCTGAAATTCAACAGGGCATTCTCATGTCGACTAAAATATATACGTAATTGTTGACACTCAAAGATATGCAAAATAAAAGAGAATAACAATTTACTTGGATCTTCCCATTGATGTTTAGCACTGAAATTGATCAGTCTCTCATTGACATATGTGCATACTGTACGGATTGCCTCGATATTGCCTATGCCAGGACGAAACGGTCGTCCAGTGTTTCCAGGTTTTTTCATGGTTGTCTACCTTTAAATGACTTATAAACTCAACCATTAAATTACTAAAATCTCTACAAAACCCATTTCTAATAATTGTAAAATTGTCAAAAACTCCAGATGTCGTAGTATTCAGATTAACCAAGAACCATTGAAGACAACTATTTAATTTTAATCTGTCAACCTATTCGAAAAACGTCAATCGAAAATATGGTCAGCGGTCGATATTATAAGACATTTGACTTTAAGGTTAGGAGAAATTAAGATACTGGGGCGTATAAAAGTAACTATTAACAAATAAGGCTACCAAAACAAACCTATTTAACGACTGTGGAACAACTAGGAAGCTTACTTCTACTCAAAGTAAACTCTAATACTACTGTTTAGAACGATGACAAAACCCTTTCAATCAAGCCATCTACGTTGAATTATTCAACAACACAAGAAACATCCACTTGTGTTGTTAACATTTTCTTCCATTACTTCACTTTAGGTATTTTATAATAATGTAGCGAACAAGGCCACGAGTGGGGACAATGGAATGCATCTGTCACGAAACTACAAAGCATTTCAACAAAATCTGAGAACCATGTAGTAAATCGTTAATTTGCAAAATATTATTCCATCGTCTGAACTTGACTGTTTCTTTTGTAAATATCAGTCCATCGTCTCAGATTTCATTGTTCACGCATTTTCATACGAATTGCGTTCCGTTCCCATTCTTTCTTTATCGATCTTCTACTGAAATACATTCTATGCCTGACCACCGTGATATACTACTTATGTGGATATAAGTAACCTACACCACAGTATCACTTAACTTAATCAAGCTTTTATTATTGATTACTTTAATTAATTAACGTTAAAACACAATTGAAATTATCCAGAGAAAAAATATAGATTGATTCTTTAAATTTTTTAATTTAATATTTCTATCATCATTTATTCTTTAGAATGTTTACCATGTTTCTTTTTAACTCATTTAACAAACTGTATGCAATAACTAAAGTAGGTATCCCTTAATAGAATAAGAATAAAACCTGAGTTATTTATCATGTTTAATCAAATTGTTATTCAGTCGTCAACAACTCAATTACGGTTATTTATTTTGATCATTTATTGCATATAAGAATTAAAGTCTTGTTAAAAATATTTCATGAGAAATAAGTTCATTAAGAAGTTAAAGCTGACTACATAGGAAAGATATGGTCGATTTTCCTTTAATCAATAAGGCATTACCGTAAAATCAATGTAGATATGTTCAGATTCACTTACGTATTGGTTGCTTGAATATTCCCATGAGGTTTATCACTGCAACTGATCAGTCCATTATTGGCATATGTGCATACTGTGAGGATTGCCTCGATAATGTCTTAATTTACAAGCATTCTAACCAAACATAGATAGTGGTTAGCAGTGAAATGGAGGACACACGTTTCGTTCTATTTGAGACTCAGAAGTTGGATGTAGCGACATCTCATAATGGATGTCCACTCTGGGATTCGAACTCAGTACCGTTCGCTTCAAACCCCATGGCGTTATCCACTCAGCTACTGAGTCCTGATAGCCACTTGTTTGTGCATTGGGGTGAAGTTAATATTTACTTGTGTATTGGTTGCTTGAATCTTCCCATTGATGTTTAGCATTGCAGTTGATCAGTGTATCATTGGCATATGTGCATTTTGTGCGTATCGCCTCGATATCACCTTAATTCACAAGCATGATAAGCTGAGATGATGGTGGCTAGTGGTAGAGTCCAAGATATCCATTTATGTTTATTTTAAAGGATTTACTTTTAAAAATAATTGTCATTTAATAAAGCTAAAGTTCGGAGGATTTTTTATTTCAGAGAATTTTTCAGAAAGTGAACGAAATGGGACATTATGATTCTACTTCAATCGCTTTCAGATAAGATCAAACATTATAATTATTTGAAAACCGACAATATATTTAATGTATATTACCATACAACGAAACATTAAACTATTGAACATTAATTACAACCATTAGTAACTCCCATCAATAAAATCAAAGTATTCATATTTGCTCATTTTATAAGTTTGGTCATTAGATGTAACATTTTATTGAACAACTCAGTGAATTAAATTGAGTTGTTTAATTAAATATATGGAATAAGCATCAAGGAAATTCTATACTTGCTGGTAATTACTGTTATTTGATAATTCGTAATTATTTAGTATGATCAGTAACGTATTCTTTGTTCATTTCTGCTGAAGTGTGAGTAGTAACATAAGTAACACTGATATTGTAGAGTGACTTTGTTCGTAAACTGTTTCTTTTTTATCTAAATAAATAAAAATATCTTTTCAAATGAGGATATTTATTAAGATCCTATCCAAACCAGAAGGAGTGACAGTGAAGTTCAGAGTTGAGTTAATAAATCTTTTGTTCTTATTTGGACGTAGTAGCAGTCGGTGTAAATAAATCTTATATCTTGCGGCAATGGTCTACTTATCAAAACACTGGCTTTGCATTTGACTATCTACATTTCCAACTCCAATTATTGTGTGACCGGTTAAATGGAGTCATTCCGTGGATAAACCAATCATCATCAATGAAATTAGATTATTTATGTTCTCTATCTTAAATCGTCTAAAGTTTGAAGTATGAAATATCAGATGTCAAACCGGTACCAATCGAGTTATCTGGATTTACTGTGTCTTATCCATGGGAAGTTTATTCCTAAACATTACCGACTAGTCCCACACTAAGACATAACAATTATCCAGTATCCCCTAAACTCAAATGATACCCTAAATCAATTGAATGATATGCTTTTAGTAAGAAAACTAAATGAAATTTACTTTACAAAATCTTTCTATCTCATTTCGTTTTTTGTTAGAATAGGAAATAAATCAAGGTAGGAAAATAAATTAATCAATAAAATAGAATTGATTTGTTTATCGTTGATGAAAATGATTATCATTCCTGATAATTTATCTTCTTGTAGAAAGAGAGAAAAAGTTGGCTTACTATTTAGTTCATTTTATGTTATTTATTATTATTTTAATCTTATTTGCATAAATATCTAAATGTTTCATTGTAATAATAAAGAGAGAATTAGAGTAGGTGTGAAAATCATGTTTTCACTTAATTAGGTCATTGAGTTAAAATTCTGGTTATATATTGAATAAGATACAATATATAGATAGTTAAACAGATTATCAGTCAAATAGAATAATTAAAATGAAAAAGCAAAAAAAAAAAAATAGTTATTAGCTTATTTCATACATGAATGATAGTTGACACGAATGTTGATTATTCAAAACAAAACAAACAAAAAAAAAGTGTCTTCAAATAAGTCAACAGAAAATTTTAGGAAGAAAAAAAAAGAAAAACTTGACATAAAATGACCTTAAATAACCTCATAGGAACTAGTAAACATTTACTCATTTTAAATATATACATATATACACGAAGTTTTATTTTCATTTATTTTAGTTATGCAGATGTTCGGTTGATTTTACACAGTAGAAATTAGTTTAGTTTACGGGCTAATTTTTAATTGGATATTACTATCAACATGAAAAATCATTGAAACTTTCAAATGAAACTAATCCTTTACAAATATTTAAACTAAATATTAATTGTATACACACGAATAACTAACTTCAAAATCAATTGTTGAACTATATGAAGAACTGTTTAAGATGTGGGCTAACGGAATTTGATTGAATAATCTAGTGGTAACGATTCCTGTATACCTCGATTTCGAAGCCTTGTCGAATATTGGGTATAAACCTTTAAACATTTTCGTACCGGAAAAAAAGACAGTTGTCTAGTACTCCTAATTTTTAGGGGGTCCTTGTTCAATAAATGGAGAAAACATAAGTCGATGAAAATATTTTTTCAGTTATGGGTAAAATTCTAGAAATAAAGTAGATATATATATATTAAGACTATAGTAACTAAAATGCTGTAATTGAAAATAATATTTAAGACGAACTGATTTCAACTAAATGACCGTCTTTAAACAGCTTTCTCAATCGAATTTTCCTCTTTCTAATAATTTGTAAACTATAATAATATAAAGAAGGAGTTGGATCATCATGTTTATCAAAGAAAAGATTATATGGGTGCAAGTTATTAACTGAGGTTGAACATGTGAACCATTTGATCTTGATTTAATAAAAGTGAACTCATTATGAAACTTTTAAGTTTTTTTTATTGAATGTGATACGGGATTATAGTTACTCATCATTGAAAAGTTCCATACTTAGATGATATAGCTTTTCATTAACTAACATCTCACTCTGCATTTTTAAATTAATCAAATTTATTCATGGTGAATCTTTCACCAAATATGTTGTCGATTGTTACCCAGTCTTCTGTTATGTAACAATCACGAAGGGTTTGAACGTTTGATGTGTAATAATGGGGCATTCTACAGAATTCATTTTATTGTACTTCTCGCAGTAATTTCACCATAGGTTTAGTTAATAATATATCTATAATATATCTAATGGTGACTACTTTCAATAAATGAGCTACACTATTGATAGCCCTTAGTTCACACAGAAATGAGTTTTTATTTACAACACAAGTATTGCATCAATCAATTCTAATGATCTTATTTATAGTCGGTTATCATCCCAGAATGTGTTATCTTTATATGCCTATTCAATTTCGTTCATTGTTTTATTCAGTTGACGTTTGGAGTTGTGATTGACTGACTGACTGACCTTTTACGTATCAATGTTAAAGTTCCTATTGATTAAAGGTTAGCCTTAATGATACTTTTATAAACATTTTTCTGATATCTATAGAATTTCCTAATGAACAATGAATAAAATACCACTGAAAACAAAAACATGCATATACATATAACATTATCTGCAACTGAATCTTACTACCCTTACACTACTATTAAACAGTAATTGAGTAAATTATATATTAGTATTTATATATAAAATTACAAATATTATTATTATTAGACAACAAAAATTGACTAGAATTCATCCTATCGTTCATATATTATCATTTAACATCTAATACATCTCGCCTAAATTATAAAAACATTGTTAGTATAAGGGATAATTACAATTTATGGGATATAAAATTGACTCTATCCTAAGTAAAGATGAATATTAAATAACTTGGATGTAAATCATATACATCAGTTATTTATACCGTAATACAATTAAATATAGACGGGATATTAAAAAATACATATACCTATTAATAATATACATATATCTGGATTGAAGAGTGTCAGTTGAAGAAAATGCAAATGACTGCATTATTCTTCAGTATTAAGCTGGATTCTCTAATATATCAAATCACTCAAAACAATGGTTACATTTAGACCAGTGTAATGTATTATGTTAAATAATAGAATTTGTCACTGTTGTAAATGCGAAATTTAATTTTGGTAACTGGTCAGTCGAATTCTGAACAACATACGAGTTGATACATTTTAAAAAGTGCTGATCAGTTATATATTTAAGCAAAGATGGATAGTGGCTATCAGTGGAATCTTCATCGAACATACTTATAACCCTTTTTCCAAGTTGAACACTATATTATGATGTAGAATAACAGCAGCATCTAAGATATTTCTTTTTGCATTCGTGAGCAAACTGATATGTATCAATATGGTCTTCCAAGGCAGACCGACGTGGGAGTAGCAATAGTTTTCCCATTGTTTCAGGAAGAGTTGGAGTTATTACTATGGGTCTAGGTTTTGCGTCCTTATAGCCTGCTATTTTTCTGGCGTTGGGATTATTTTTATCCTTTTCCACATCTTCAGCATGGGATTAATTGAGAATGATTGATTGAAGATGCTCGTGAACGGATAACACAGAAAGGCAGAACATTTTTTAGAAAGGAGGTTTGGGATTTCATCAGGTCCTAAACAGTGGGACGAATTAAGTGACTAGAAACATTTTTCGGCATCAGTTTCAGTGAAAATGGAAACATAACTAGCGTTCAAACTTGAGGATACAAGAAGCATGACATCAGATGACTGATTTACAAAACCTTATTTGAGTCACAAACATTCAGCTAGTTATTATGCACTAATACGTCTACCACCTATAAGCACTTTAATTAGTTTACATATTCGTGAAGTGCTTTAACAAGATAGAGGTTTCTGAGCAAACACCAAGTTCAGACGTCTAATCTCCTGCTTTATTAAACCATTTAGCTTCCGAACTTCAATGGAGTTTTTCTCTCTGTATATTTTTTCGTTTACTCTACTTAACCGTTTTAGTTGTGAAGATGTAAGTCGATCAAACTTACAAAAGTGATTTCGATGCGACAAAAAATACCAAAACAGAATTTAAGATAACAAGTGACGATATCAACAGTGCTTTGCAACTAGTCATTTGTAAGTAATCCCCACTTTGTCGTACGGAAAATGTTCTTCAGATTCTGAATTTGTTTTCTTCTGAGTAATTCTTGTATTTATCTTTCTTTGTCTGATGTAAGAGTGTGCTCTTTCCAAGATTGTCATATACTTTAAGTAGAACACGAATGGTCAGAACTAGAGAAATGAGCACATTTACGGGCCATATGTATTCCTACATCATTGATGAAAATCAAGTGTAAATGGGCATTCGAACAAGTGGAAAAATACACTATATTATGGTGACCTAGTGACGAAAGAAAGCCACAATCATATGAATTAAAATCACCACACCAATTGAAAGTGAACCGTTAAGTCCAGTAACGGCAAAGTTGCTGAATTCATCAATAAAAACAGTTAGTGCAGATGTTGTGCTGTCTCGAGATACATAGATGTTGGTAACATAAACATAATTGTTTTTCTTCAAGTGTTTTGGAAGGCATCTTAAATTTAAACAGTCAATAAATTTATTTGAAAACTTAAAGCGCGCAAAATTATATCGGCACCAGTACACAGTTACAAATACAGTCACAACGCCTACACTTTATTATTACCTGGTCGATCCTGTCGATAAATATCGAAACCATGTAGCAGTGATACTAAACAATTGTTGTGTAAATCACTTAACCAGAATTATTGATTTGTGGTTACACCATAATTACGACATATGTCTAGACTTAGTGAGAAGTGAAGATAGTCCACTTTGCCAATTAGTGATCGGGAGTTAAAAGTTAGCAGTTTGGGAATCGATACATGATTAATTTTCATTCCCTTCAATGTATATCACCAGCCACTTTGATGATGTCTCTGATTATACTTTTTTGTAACTTGTACAGCGGATGGTTGTAAACGTTTCGTAGACGCGCCTGAATAGGTTATGCAATTAAGAGGCATAATGATGTGTTGAAGCAAACAAAAAACAGATAACTTGTTGAAATATTTAGATGGGAGGAACAGGTAACCCAGATATTCAGATAGACCGACATTTTGTAAATCTCACTTTAATCCCATGGTAATTCTGACACAGATCATTACTTAATAAGATTAACCAAATTCATTCACCGAAATGTTGAAGCAACAAATGTTATAAAGAATGATTTATCTCTCTTAAGATAAGCTCTACAGGAATGCTAACACAATCTTGATTGATAACTCAATAACAAAGTTAACAAAAAATGATTATAGATCATTTTTAGTTCAATTTAAATATTACTAGTTTAACTATTTAATAGTCGCAAATGACGAATAGTTTCTGCACTTAGCTTCGCATACTTCAGACCACTTTAAAAACCTACTGAAGTCTTCAAACGGATGTTTAAAATTCATGTTTTTAACGGTCAAATAACTAAATAATGTCCTATTATGGTTTTAGTGATTTTTGTTAAGTCTGCGTCGCGAACTACTATTTGAACTCAACAAATATCACAAATCGAACCTTTGTGACTAATAGACATTGGTAAGTTTAAGTAATTTCTTGGAAAAAGATGTAGCATTTTTAAAAATGGTTTAATTCATCTACAAAGCTTGGTCATTTCATTTTGTTTGACCATCTTTTCCATTATTTTTCTCACTTATTCCCTAAAGGAAGTTCAAATACGTGATTGTATTGATGCATTCCTTGTTGTTTATGCTATTGATGATCAAAATAGTTTTGAAGCAGCTAGATTAATCGTTAATGCATTGACACCATTGAATGATACAAGACAATGCCCAACGTTGTCATCATCAAAAGCGATTAATAGTCCGATGACAGCTGTACCTGGACTAATCTATCTTGTTGGTAATAAATCAGATTTAGTCAGAGGTAGACAAGTATCTATAGAAGGTAAGTGATTATTGTTGTCATTTACTATAAGCTCTGGTATATCATTCTAATAATGGCATTATATTCATTTTTATATTGTTTGTTTGGATCTTCTCACTGATGTCTAGGACTGATCAATCTGTTATTATCATACGTACGTACTGTGCGTATTGCCTTGATGTTGCCTTAATTCACAAGCACTATAAGCAAAGATGGTTAGTGGATAGCGGTTAAATCTCACAACTGATGTTCACTCTGGGACTCGAACCCAGTATCGTTCTTTGTTTAGCTACAAAAAATGAATTAAAACGTCACCCTATTGCACAAACTAGTGGCTATCTGAACTTAGTAGCTAGACGGGTGACGCGATAACGTTTGAAGCAACCCGCGTCATGCTAGAGTCCCGGGGCTAACATCAACTCTGGTATGCTTGCACATCCGACTGACGAATCCCAACTAGGACGAAACATGCATACTGAATTCCACTCCTAGCCACCATCCATTTCTGCTTATAATAACATCATGGTTTTTTTTAAATTCTAGATTATGAGTGTTGTCAAAATATTGAATTTCTTAATTATCTATTCAACTGTAACAAAATAAAAATCCATTATGTCCACTTTGTTCATTTTACAAAAACACTTTCGCAATGTTGAGATAATTGGAATTCTTATTGAATATTTCTTTAAAAACATTTCAGATTCATAGTACATAAATATCGATTGCTTTGTTAAATCCCTATAATTGCTGAACAACTTTTTAACAATCATGCAGGTTATAGTACAGTTATAGTCTTCTTTTCATAGAGCTATCAAATAAACTCGTATCATTTACTAGTGAGTTTTGTGAGTAGTTCAATATAAAGCAGCGGTTTTTTTAGGTTATACTGAAATAATGGAACGATCCCTTCTTTTTTCGTTTATGTATCGAAATATGCGGATATTAACAATGTCCTGGATGATTTACCGAATTGACATCGTTAAGTATAGTATATAATATGCATATCTTAATCATATTTGAGTAAGAGTATGAAGAAATCTATTGTTTCAATACATGATACTTTACTTGGGGTAACCTGTCAAACAGGAATTATCAAAGAATAGGCCATGAATTATTTTATATTCAGGAATTCATGGCATACATTTTCACTACAAAGAAACATCTATTCATTTAACTTTCACTCTAACCAGTAAGCTATATTTTGATGGTCACCAAATTAAGATAAATTTGATGTACAGAGTAGTAGGCATCTTCAAATGCAACTTACTTGCTAACTTAAGCATGTTACTCCTCATGGAGAAGCATAGGCTACACACCAGGATTCTCTATCAAACTCTGTTCTCAGCAATCCTTTCCAGTTGTTTCCAATTGTTATTCATTCTTTTGATGTCTTTTTTCAATCATCGATGCAATATGTTCAACTGCAAACATTCAGTCAAAAGTACTTGAAGAAAGGTTTTTTTATTTGCAAGTACAATCAGGCAATATTTGCAACTTTGATTAGGTACCTATACTTATGTTACATCAATAGAAAATAGTTTATTAGCATTTATGATTAAGTAATGATGACTTTTCAGTTGCAAAGTTTTATAGTTCAAATATGCAATTATTTCTTTTATAAATCTATAAGATATTATTTACTGATTCAAAAGAAAAAGCTATTACATGTTGAATCTTTTAAAATTCTAGTACTGTAATATTAATAAAAACTGAACTGAAATACTATAAAATTGGCTGCAGCCTGTTCCATCATTGATATAAGGATGAGAATACATGAGAAGTTTGTTTATTTAATGGTTGTATGAACACTAATTACTAGTTGAGAAACGAGTTCAATTTAAGTGTTGTGTAAACGAAAGTGACTTGTAACTATCATGTGTATCTTCGGCGCTGAATTACCGTTAGTCAGCTTCTCAAGTTATCAGTGGTACGACATTGCAGTAGAAGTATCTCTACTGGGTTCTACGAGTTCACTATCTTACCGCATGTGTGTTTAATCCATAGCAACATTGTAAGTAAAGCTGCTTTCTGGAAAAATGTATTAGGTGCAGTGCTGGTGTTGTTCGAATTAATCCTTCCATCTTTAAACACCAGCTTTAGTAACTTGAACTTACGCTTCAAATTAAACCAAATTTCGCGGCACTAGAGCTGGGTGAAAAAGTAGCGGTGAACTAGTCATATTATGGTATAGTGTCATGAAATTGCAAATAGTTGGAGTAAATGAGTTTTCGTTTGTTCCTGGCAACTCCTTAGGAATGGTCTCAAAGATAATATAGCTCAGTAGGCTCAAGGATTACCAAAAATGACTCAAAACCATACTCAGTAAAAATTCCCTTGTAGCTTTCCATTACATTCCCCGTAAACATCAAAATGAATCTTCCATTAAGTAGAATTCATCACAATTGTATACACAGTGAAACTATATTCCTCAATGCATATTATTTTCCATATAATATTGTCACTATTTAATATTGAAGGTTTCTTGGCACTCTACTGTACCAACCACATTTTTCTATTATTAATAATACAATCACCAATGAATAAATAAGTCTTGTTTGTATAAAGTTAATTCGAAACAAGAGTTAATCACTTTAGAAGAAGTAGACTGAATTAGATCAATTACAACCCAGTAAATGTTTTATATTAACCAAAAAGCTAATTAGGTATAAGCTGTTGAAAAAGAAACCTAAATTAGGTCTCATTTCTTATATAAAAAATTTTTTTATTTTTTTTTGTTTACGTTTAGTTGTGTTTTAGGATTAGCCAACTAATATACCATCTTGAATGTTGATCAGAATTCATAAAGAATATCTTTCATATATATAAAGGAAGTAATAATAATGATTAAAATATAATAAATAACCAAATCAATAATTCAAGCGCTTTATGGAAATTGCTTAATGTTTCTAATCTACTTTCAAATCTCACAGCAAGTACTTAACCTTTGAACTAATGAGTTGATATCTGATGGTCTACATGAGTAACTTTAATCAATTAGCGATACTGAACAACTATCGTTAAAAACCATTGGTGGGTAACTACTACACACTAGAAATGGTCATGAGCTTTATAAGCAAAGGTGGATAACGGCTAACAGTGGAATCCAGAACGCGTTTTGCGTGCTATTTGGGACTCGTTAGCTGGATGTATTTGTATCCCAGGGTTGATGTTCACTCCGGGACTCGAACTCAGTACTGCTCGCTTCAAATGTCGTTGCGTTATTCACTTAGCTATTCATCTTTGCTTATAAAGCTTGTGACCTAAGACAATATCGAGGCAATCCAAACAGGATGTAATATGCCAACAAGAGACTGATCAACTGCAGTGCTAAGCATCAGTGGGAAGATACAACCAAACAACACCGAGTGAATTTACATCAGTCATGGTTTCTCATTAAAAACCAAAGAATAAACTATTGAAATTAGTCGCTAATGAGCATATGACAAATGCAGATGTAAATAGATTGTGAAGATTGTGGAATTTGTATAGTTCATATCACATCTTCATGAAGAAATAACTGTCCAGTGATTCCTGGTTTTCAATAGTTGTCTAAGTAATGTTCATCAGTCACAATTGATTGATCACTGGGTGGTGATCGATGTCATGCTTGTCTAGTCCTTATTAGTGCAGATCGAATGCTATCGATCGTGTTGCAATGTGGCCACCAGTCTAGGTGACTCGACACTGCGGGTACTATGTATTGAGATTTAGATGGTGGTTGGAGGTAGTCAACAGGAAACCCTGGACCCGGGTTTCGTGCTACTTGGCGCTCGTCAGCAAGGTGTACCTGTAATCTTGAGGGAACTGGTGCTCCCTGGCATTGATCACCACCCAGTGATCAATCAATTGCGATTACATCTCAGTCCTACAGGTGGTTAGTCACGGCTCGGATAGCTCAGTGGTAACGTCTCTGACTGTGAAGCTGGGTGACACGAGAACGAATCCGCCAGGGAGCACCAGTTCCCTCAAGATTACAGGTACACCTTGCTGACGAGTGCCAAGTAGCACGAAACCCGGGTCCAGGGTTTCCTGTTGACTACCTCCAACCACCATCTAAATGTTCATCAGTATTATGACTTATAAACAATCAAATTTTTATTTACATGATTTATTTGTTAACCAATAAAGCATTATGATTTTTAATGACCGTCAACGTGAAATACTAAATTAATGATGACAGTTATCGATTTCCAACTATTTAACTGTAACTAGAAATCACTAGCGCTTATGTAAATTATCTACTTTAAACATGAGTTCATAAATCTGTGACCGTTTACCGTCAAGTAATACCACATTATATAACCCGTAAATCACAATGTAACTTATCACAATTTTGATATTCTACCGACTTCACTTGGTACTAGAATATGAACACGTCAATATCGTACTTTTGTCTCGATATGGGCATTTTTAAACGTCTTACAAATACCAACTATATGAGACTGATATCAGAAGGTTTTTGTGGGTATTATAGTCATTTCAATGGTTGAGATCATGAGTCACTTGAAGGTAGACCACCATGGGTCTATTGTGAGATAGTTACTCACTGAAGACATTAGTGGATGTGTCGCCCGATTTCGTGGATTGGTTGAAGTTAGACATTAACAGCGTTAGATGCCGGCTCAGTGGTCTAATGATTAAGAGCTCGCGCGCGAAACTGATGGGTCCTAGGTTCCAATCCCGCGAGGCAATGTCGTGGATGCGCACTGCTGAGGAGTCCCACAATTGGACGAAACGGCCGTCCAGTGCTTCCAGGTTATATGAGATCGGTTTTCAAGTGTCTATTAAATTTTATGTTCATTGTGTAGTGTATTCTAAGATGATTTGTACTTTATGAAAAATCTAGATTATTTAGTTTAGCTTGTTAGTTCACAAATCTCTGTCATCTTATAAGTTATTTGAAGTTCTTTTGGTATAATTATTTATTGTTTACTGAATCATGGTAATATGAACTAGACAACTTTTTAAGACTTGACAATAATATTGTTGTGAACGAGAATACAAGTGGAGACAATCAACTGTGTTTAAATATAAAATTACATCATATCTTCATAAAATATGTTAACCATACATTGAATACTTCATTTGTAAACTTCCATCATTTATCCTTCATATTCTATGTAATTCTTCCGGTTCCTAATTCCTTTCTATTTTTTTCCTTCTATTCTACATAATTTGATCTTCTTAACCTTCTATTGCCAGATATTCTATTGTCGACTACATGTTACTTATGTCAGTTATCTTAAATTATCACAGAAAAATAAAAATCATCTATCACAATCAACAACAACTAAGTAGTAACCAATATGTTTAAATCAATTTCCATACTAAATCAGTGATTTTAATGGGTTTTTTTTAATCATAGCAAATTTCTAAACCAAAAAAAATAAAGAAAGAAAAAAGAGGCGAGAGAAAATATACAAACTGACAAGAAAATCTATCGAAATTATTCAATTCAATTTTGATCATTTTTTCTTGTTGGTGTGTTTCTTTTATTGTTTCTTTTTTCTTGTTACATTGATTGTTATATTATTTTTTAAAAATTAGTTGTTACTAAATAGTGTGCTTATTTATTATTTAACCGCTTAGTGATAAACATTAAAAAGGAATAGAAAATAAGTACATTGTATTTTTAATAGTGAATCATATAAAACTAAGATTGATTAAATTGTCTATCTCCATTTCCTATTAAGAATAAAGAAGAAATAAAATCATTTAAGTTAAATAAGAAATTAAGTAATAAATTAAAACAAAACCAAAAAAGATAGTTTACATTTATGATAATAATTTGCTTCAACTTACTTGGTATTGTTTTACTTGTAACTTCCCACTGATGTTTAGCACTGCAATTGATCAGTCTGTTATTGGTATATGTGCGTCCTGTGCGGATTGTCTCGATATTGCCTTAATTCACAAGCATGATAACTTAAGATGGATGTTATGAAAGCTAAAGTAAAATAAGTAGCGATTAGGACAAAATAGAGAAAAAATGTTATGTATGTATGAATATATACATATATCTTAATAGACTTATATATGTATATGAATATTCATTGTAAGTTACTTCGTGTTACTATCATGAATTTAGTTCTTCCTTACTCTGTAAGATAATACATATTTCAGTTTTCAGTGATCTCTTGATTGTTTTTCTATTTGAATCCCACGAAAACAAATAGTTACACTGTGGATTACATTAAATTAACAATAAGCATGTTATAAATTTCCAAACGTTTTTCTAAAATAACACCGTGATGAAGGCAAAAATAAGATCAGATGTTAAAAAAGAACGTGCTGATGATAGGTTAACGATTGATTGATTTGGTATAAATTGTTGTAACTGTACTTCAAAGAATGCGAAATATTCTATATTTGTATGACAGGAAATTAAGACATAATTTTAATTATATCTGGAAGCTTACAAATCTCTAATATATTCTCTAATGGATAGCAACAAAGTTAATCATGAAATGTTGCACTATAACTCCTCTTGTACCTTTTCTAAGATTAGTGCCAGTTCCATGTCCGCAAAAAACGAGGAGGATTAAGTACTTGATAAACAACCACATCTCAAAGAAAGCGAACCTACTAAAATAGTGTGAACCAGAAAATATCATTTAATTCATTTAAAATGTAACCTGGGATTTGAAAAACCTTTATTCAGAAAGTTATGACGCCTCATGCTGAAAACCGAGATTCTTCGTGGGTCACGATGCCGATGTCCAAGCCAAGGCACAGATCGAACACATAAACAAACAAAAGTGTGAAGTGGAGCATCAGAGGTGACAAATGGAAGATCTAGCAACGGCAGAGAAAAAAGCTGCAAGAGAAGGGAATATGAAATTACTATACAATACAACGAACTAACAGGGAAATATAGTAAACCAGAACAACCAGTCAAGAACAAAGAAGGCAAGTCACTGAGATTCAAGAGCAACGAAACAGGTGGGTAAAGCACCTTAAAGAACTTTTGGATAGACAAGCCTCATTGAACGTACTGGACATCTAAGCAACACATACACAGACCTTTCTATAGATGTCACTCCACCAACAACCGGAGAAATCAAGAGTGAGAAAGCAGCAGGACCAAACAGTATACCCGCAGGGGCACTAAATTTAGGCATAGAGGTAACTGTAAAGATGCTCCGCATTCTATTCAGAAAGATTTGGGAAGAAGAACAAATGTCGGCAGATTGTAAAAGATAATATCTCACCAAGATGCCAAAGAAAGATCTCAGCAAGTGTGTAAACTCCAGTAGCATCACAAGAAAATTGCACTTCAAAAATAATATCAAATGTGAAGTACTATGAAGTATACACTAATTATTTGATACTAGAATTTTTCTCACTATACTATAATCCAGTTTTACACAAACGTTAAATGATTACTATATTCTCTTCTGCTTATCAAAAGTTTTAGCACGTGGATTATTTTAAGATAACAGTTTCATTATCCTATTATTATAAGGAGTTCACAGTTTAGTTAAGATCCCAGTATGAAAATCATCCACTAGCTTATCATACTGTTAGTATAGGTTTACGTAAGAAGGTATTCTATCAATTTGTATAGATTAATTAGTTCGGCAACATTTCTGCAGTCATAAATGAACTAAATTTTGATAATATAAAATTATCTCCACATTTTCTGTAAATTTGTTTCACAGATTAATGACAATCTTATCACTTAACATACACCATTAGATTGGTTTGAACATTGAAATGAGTGACCCGAATATGACGTCATTGGATACAGCTTTGAGGAGTAATGCAAAACAAGACGATGGAATTTGGTCGTAATGAATATCTAGTCTATATAGTTTGATTTCAGAGGGGTTAACTGGCAAGCAGTGATAATATATTCTAATTATTAACCGTATTATCCACCCTAGACACCCCAAGATGCTAATAATCTCTAAAAACCTGGAAATGAAATCTGATGATAAGTGTAAAGAGTAAAGTTTGCAAGAATTAAACATGAGATTTTTAATAAAGTGATTTTCTAAATTTATTGACTTCACCTTTTACTGAATTTTTTCCTATGTAACAGAAGGTCGTCATTTAGCCTCAATACATGGAGCGAAATTCATCGAAGTTTCTGCATCGTTGAATCATATGGTTGCAGACCTTTTTGTATTACTAATTGGTCATCTACATGAAAGTGAACAACGTGGCAGAGATCCTCGTCTACCTGCTGAAAGAAGAGTTAATCCATTACAATCAAATCCATTGACAAGTTCATCAAAGTCGATAATAAACTCCAACGTAGTTAATACTTCTAAAATACTAACTGTTACCAAAGCGAATTTTAGTAAATTTCTAAAAAAACATTTTAAACGTGTTAGTCAAGTCAATGACTAACTGTGTTAACTATATGAATTTAATTCTGTCACAGACTTTTGGTATTTTCGAGTTTCACTACTTACATGTAGCTAAAGTAAATTGAACAAAATTCCAGAACAGCAGTTTTCAATTTGTAATGGTTAGTTTTTCTTCCGATATAGTTAATTGCAACCGGAACTCAAGCTTCTCGACAGAATAAACAAAATATCATTTTAGATTAGACTAACCTATTACTAGTTGCATAATTCGTTAGATAAAATATAAGACTTTTTCATTAGCTACTGTTTTTCATAATTATCACCTTGGTATTTTGATCTACCTTCATAACTAAAGAATTCCAGTATAGTACTTAGCACTTATACATCCGTCGTCAAAAGCTTTCATTAAATGATTTATACACATTTTTTCTGTCCATAAACCATTCACATCTTCATTTTTTATACTTACGTACAAGATTCTTGGCTTAGTACGGTACGCTGTTCCAACTGTGTTAAGGTTGATTAAGCCTTATCCGGTGAAGTCGGTCGGCTTTTCTGGATGAGTTTCCATTCCTCAGGGCTCGCAAACTCACCACATGGATGTGATCTAGTGAGAAAACTGTTACTCCTAGGCCTTGGGGCGCGGGCATCGCAGCAGGGTAAAGTAAAGTCTGCATGCGTACAGGTAACAAATAATTTTTCACTCATACATCTCTTGACACACACATAGATATGTTCACCTATCTGAGAAAGTAGATGGTCACCGCTCCCTTCAAATGTGTCCGTTACAGTCGACTTTCACGCACATATTACATGCATGTCACTGGTACAGAGGTTTTCGTTCCTGAACCTCATGACCTACACATAAGCACAAGCACTCTTTCAGGAAAGTCGATAATCACCTCGTTCGGGTACTTGCTGCCATATTTTTATTCTGTCTTTGACCTGAAGAATTTGGCCGCTGGTTTTATCATACAAAAGGCGGATATTTCAGCTTGCGTTCCTTGTGCTAACCCACGCGCGCACTCATTGGATATTCCCACATACATATTTCACATAAGCTGAAACTCGTGCAATCCATATGCATAAGCATACACATTGGTTAGCCTGAAAAGCGTGAACCAGTCAATCCGGTTTACAGATAATTGGTGAATTAGTCTGATATCTGCCGGCCGCCCAAGTTAGTTATCAAGGTTTCCCTTACTACCAAGTGAACTTAGGTCGGATTCTGCTACCAAAGTCGGCGACACACGGCGTTCCCAGCCGGTCGCCCATACAAATACTGACGGAGTCCAACATTGCTGAACTAATGCGGTCGAACAAGAACCGCTTTTCTGAACAAAGTATGGTCGCCGAAAAAATATCTGCACCAGATAGACAAAATGAAAAATTGGTTGAATTATTTTAATAATAACAGTAATAATAATAACCTATTGTTGAACAGTAATAAGTTTCCTGAGGCATACATGCTGTGATATTTGTATTCATTGGGAATTCCTTTTTACTCGATTGGGCGCTTTATGAGAATTCCAACTGTAATATGTTCAGTTTCGACTACCTTAATCCACCTGACTTAAATCGCGCCATTTCAGGAATTCTTAGTTAAAACATCAATTTGAACACTTCTAATTATAATATTGATATCTCATTGGAGCCTGAGATTGCACAATTGGATACACATTCATATTCTGAGGTTTGTCACTGCACGTAAAGCTTTGAAATCAGGAGTATAACCAAAAGATTCGGTAAAGATGACAAAATTGTGGATTATTTTCTTACGTTCATAGGAAAGGATGTTTACAACGTACTGAGAAATTTGACATTTCCAGATAAACCTATTTTACTTTCCTACGAAACTCTCAGAGAACTACTATTAAGTTATATAAAGTGTACAAATTTCGAATGCCGTGAAAGAGCAAAATCTCATGAAACAATTCTTCAGAATAACCAGGAGGTTAGGGAGTTTATCATCAAATTTCAGAAACAAGCCACCAAATGTAACTTTGAAGGTCATCTTCATGTCCAGCTGCATGGTTGTTTAATTGCAGGAATTAACCTATCAAATCTGGAAAGAGGGCTTATACAAATGCTGAAGTGTTCCTTCCAGGATGCTAGGGCTACATGTATTAATTACGAGATTGCATGAAACTGATTTTCAGGTATCAAGAATTCTACTACATTACCTAGTTGTAATAATCCCATTTGTACTCAAGACCAATCGAATAGGCATTTAATTAACGACAATGTCCGATCTCAGGAAAACGTGAAAAAGAAGTTACTGAAGAATTACAAAGCAGTAAACAAAGGTGAGCACAAGTTCGGTATATGTTTGCCATGAATTAAACTTCGTTCGAGCAACTCTTGCGCATTTCATCATTCTATATGCTTGAAGTGTGGCAAAATGGGACACATCGAAACGAATTGTAAAACTAGTGTTTGTCTTGCCGTCGTATGAACCTCTCAAGGAATTACTACATGGTCATTTACAGTGTGCTAGCTTTGAATACAGAGAGAGATCGAAGTTTCATAAAATGATGGGCTGCAGAAACAGGTTGCAAAGTGCAATTTTGGTGGTCAATAGGAAGCTGAACTTCGTGATCGATTGACTGGTGGTATAAATATTCCAAATTTAACGAGTGAAATAATTCAAAATCCCAAATGTTCAATTCCAAGAAATGAGGCACTGAATGAGCTTGATTTTCAGTCAGTAAAATTTCTAAAACTTCGCTCAGTCGTCATGGTGAATTACATTCTCAATTTCTCCAAAACTTGCGTTTGTTTAGTAGTTGTTCCCTTTACCGCAGAAATACGAGAAATGATTCAGCAAAGGGTCGCATAGCAGGCTACATAGTTGAGCACAGATTCGGTCAATGTTTATCCCATGGTAAATCTTGCTAGCGTAATTTATGTGTCTTTCTGTGATAATTAGGAGCATTTGAATTATTGTGCAATCTAAAAATCCTAGAAATAACGCAACTCAACCAACAAGTATTAGATAAGCACGAACAAACGTGTTGTATTTGTAATTCAAATTCAAGCAGTCAACAAGTACAGAGAAATCGTTAGTTCATATAAACACTATTATTGACTTTGTGGCCCACTAGTTATCGCGTAGTTTATTCGCTAATCAAAATACGACTTATTCGCCCTTGTACTGTACTAAACCAGTGACGTTCGACCGGTCTGGTTAGTCTAGCGTCCTACTGGTCCGTCACTCGCCTAACCCGCCCAGCTGAGTCCAGGATGCCAACAACAGCCTCCACTATTCGAATCATTTATTTCAGACATACGGGGTTTATATATCAATCAAACAGACTGCAGCGCATTATAAAATAGAAAATAACATTTATACACAATAAAGCTAAAAAGTAGCTGTGAACGTGGGAGACAGTAAATAATAAACTGAGTATAACTTATGAACGGTAAATCGTACAATAATAATCTATAGGTCAAAACGAAACTTATAATAAGGGAAATATAAATATATATAATCTGATGACTGAATAATTATACAGTAATAATAATAAGATAATATTTGTCCATTAATAGGTCTCCGAACTTACTCGTAATTCCATCTTTGCTAGGATAAAACAAACACCACACTTTCGTCCTCTTAAATGCTTTATGTGTGGCATAGACGGATATTTCAAATCGGTTTGTAATGCTACTGTTTATTTTACCATTGGTGATAAAAAACCTTGTTATTCAGATTTAATGAGGTTGGGTGCTTATAATAGTCACTTATCTTTATCCACGATTTCGCAAAGTACATTCCGTATTCAGAAAGAATTAAATGCCTCTCTTGCTTTATTTCATAATTCCTTTGTAATTGTTGAATGCTTGATTTCGAATTCTAAATACAGTACATTTGCTTGTGCTTATCTAGTACTTCTTGATCCGATTACGTGTTTTCTGGAATCTTTAGTTCATACTAAAATTCAAGTATTCCTAATTATCATAGTGTGGTAAGTGCTGTGAAAAGATGAGAAGTCATCTCAAAGAACTTTAAATGAAGGGTGATCCAATACTGCGGAAAAGGTGAATAATTTCTTATAGTGCTCGAGAAGCAGTACAGTAGACATTAAATGATTAGCGCACAAAATGCACAATTGAACCAGTTCAGTCTTTAGCATGGTACAATCTCATTGGTATGCTCTTGAAGTCTGATGACAACACCTCTAGAACATGCGGTTATCATACAATAAAGACCAAACTTCTGTTTGCTCAGGCAACATATGTACCTCGGTGCAAGCTAAACCTATTCTTACTTCATGGTTCTAAGGTACTCTCGAGCGCAAACTTAAAAGATGGTTGTCTTTGAACCCCTTATACCAATCTGGATTTATTTCGACAACTAACACTCCTCTTGGTTTATGTAAATACAATATCCTTCTACGTTAATTAGGTTGTTCTCCAGCTATATTTCCCGAAGTGATGAATGATGCTGTCACTGACCTCAATCTTGTCGAAGTTTATCAAGGTGATCTTATTATTCATGGTTACGATAAAGTTTCCCGTGATCAGAGACTTATGGCTTTATTGCGTCGTCTATTAAGAATATTTCCGGAAATCTAAGAAAGTGTTCATTCCGTGTATCTAGTGTCGAATGTACCGAATACCTACTTGACTTACTTACTTACTTACGTATGTTAACCTCATGGAAAAGCATAGGTCGTTCACCAGCGTTCTCCACCAAACTTTGTCCTGGAAAATCCTTTCCAATTCTTTCCAGTCGCTATTCATCATTTTAACGTCTGCTTCCAATTGTCGACTCGCTGTGTTCTTTGGTCTTTTACTTTTCCGTTTCCCTTCAAGATTACAAGTTAGCACTTACTTCGTGATGCGGTTTGATGATTTCCTCAATGTGTATCCTATCCACTTTCATCGTCTTTTCCTAATTTTCCTCCTCAGCTAGAAACTGGTTTGTTCTCCCCTACGGTAGCCTATGGATGTATAGCTGTTGCTACACTGTTTGTCTTGACCTGCATTTGTTGGTGTGTATGGGATAGAAAGGCCGGTTCAGTCCAAAACATTTAGCCGCATCCAACCTGTCCATTTTATTATGTGCTTTCCCTCAGATGTCGCGGTCTTCATAATCCAGTCAACCACCAGAAGAAAGAGAATGTTGGAGGATAAGCAGCCTTGTTGGACTACGGTCATTATTTGGAATGAATATGTCAACTGTCCTACATGCACCACCTTGCAGTGTAGTCCGTCATATGAATTCCGGATGACGGTGACGATCTTCTCAGGTACTCCATAGTTTCGAAGATGTTTCCATAATGTCCAAGAGTTCTTTGGAGTGTTCCACCCATATGACCCTCTGTCCTTCAATTTCAGTGATTTTCTTGCCTTCTTTATCATTGATCGGTCTTTCTTCCGTTTTCGTTGCTAGCTGTTCCAAGTATTTCTGCTTGTCGGCTCTAATGTTCCTCTTCACTGACTTCTTTGCTTCCGTGTGTTTAGCTTGTGCTTAAACTTTCTCTGTTCCTGTTTATTTATCCTCCTAATTGCTGTCTTCTCGTTCTTCCTTTCTAGAATCTTGGCTGGGCTCTTGATGGAGATGTATTCTTTGTGATGGTGCTAATCATGACCCTGCACCTTCAGGCAAGTTCAAGTTAATGCTTCTTTGGTCCCCATCCGACTGTCCTCAATAGTAGTTCCTTCTTCTTTCAGTAGATAATGTAAGGCTTGGAACCTGTTGTTGAGAGTTATCTTTAATCCATTGAGTTTGTGAGTATTTCAAAGGAAGGCTGTATTGAACCTTGGTAATCCTGTTTATCCAGTTGTACAATGTTTCTTTAGCTTCAGTTTCATCTTGGTCACACCCAGTTGATGATCGGAAACTATGTCAGCTTCTCTCCTGGTTCTCACGTGTCCCAATGTTCTACTGAAATTTTTACTGATGCAAATATGATCTGTCTGGCTCGCCGTGGTGTGGCCCGGTTAGACACATGTAGTTTTGTATATGCGTTTGTGTGGGAATATTGTGCCGCCTATAACCAGTTCGTTGAATGCACGTAGATTTGCGAAGCTCTCTCCATTGTCATTCCTTTTTCCTGGTCCATGTCGTCTCAAGACCATTGTTTTCCACTTCAACTTTGGTGATGAAGCCCTTTCCTGGGCACTTCATTATGGTTGATTGCGATTAATCGATGCGCACTCTTTGTATTTGACCATGATGAGGATCGGTAATCCACTCGATATTAAGTGACCTGACCGCCAGGTGATCCGACCAGGTCCCAGCAACATTTCACTAGCCCTACAAAACCTCTGTTAATTGGAATACGGACAAAAACGGTTGCTACGAATTTCACTTTATCACGAAAATACTCAACTAATGTAGGTTTTCTGTATTTTAATATTCTACCATGTTAGCCTGAAGTAACACTGTGTGTGTAAATGAAAAAAACATTCGTACAATTGTGTTCGGAGTGGTAACGCTGATGTATATGATTGAAAATGTCTCTGCTAAAATGCTCATGCATGTCCGTGGACCTCACCTTGTTATAACAAATCCACACGAATTGGTAGAAGGCAGGTTAATCTATAACCCCAAGATTATCTTTTATATTTAGATGATACATTGTTTAGTTAGTATCTTCATGTGTATTTGGTGATAACTTACCTGTAAGCTTTATGCCAGAATCAAATACTATGTAACGTGACAACTATGTGGAGCGAATCGCTGCTCACGATGTTCCTTCCCAGATTCAAATCTATCTTCTGGATAAATGGAAGTTGGTTTAAAACCTCAGTATGAGGGGTAGAAGTAACATAAACATTAGGTAATTCAAAGAACATCTTAAACATGAAACGTTTTCGAGAACTACCGAGTTGTGTCATCTGATTTACGCTGCTAGTTGACTGGTCCTACCAATCTCCCACATTATAAAAATATTCCATGTACCTACGTCAATCGTTGCTCTGAATGTAACAAGATACATCGGCATCGTGACCCCCAAAGGATCTCAGTTTTCAGCATGAGGCGTCATAACTTTCTAAATAAGGATTCTTCAACTCTTAGGCTACAGTTTAAATGGTTTAAACGATATTTTCTGGTTCACGCCATTTTAGCAATCTTTGTTTCCTCAACATGTGGTTGCTTACCCCGTACTTCTATCATAATAACACCTTGGTTAGTGTTTGAAAAGTTATTTAATCTAAGCCTCCCAATGACGGTTAAGGCCAGATAATACAGAAAGCTTCGGAGTTTTCCTCTGTTACCCACTAAGCGGTGTTTTTCTGCAGTACTTCGGTTATTAGCTGTTAATAGAGATCTATAAACACCAGTCCTCTTCCCAGTTTTCAATAGAACCGAAAAAGCTGACTTCGTTTTCCACAGATCTGTAGCGTTGATTCCGATTTTTAAAAACGTGATGTAACGCTCGAAGGTGAACCAGATGTTTCAAACGATTCCATTTTATGCTGCAAGGGATAAACAGCGCAGCTAGTTCCTTTATAAATCATCTCTAAGCAAAGACTTTATAGAAAATGAACTACATCTGCTACCTGAACCTCTCCTTTGTGTTTCTCTGGGCAAACCTTAATGACTAACAAATTAAGGGGCTTTTATCCATGAAAGGTCGCACTTTTACCAATTACTGGTAAGCCCTGCTTTCGACGCCTTATTATTCGATCTGACTATAGCTCCTTCGGTGGACCGTCTCAAGAAGAGACCAGACACCATGTACATACCTACAGATTGCCGCACCCCCTTCAAACACTAATTAGCCACGCACGTACACGCAAAAGTGTCCGCTATATATCTTAAGCTTTTTATGTCATAATTAATTGTTGCTACCAACTGCAGTGATCTACTGCCCAAAGATGCTGCAACTTCCAGCAATCCTAATGACTTAGAATAAACGAGTTATCTATACCCACGCCACATCAACCCTCAATTAATTACCAAATGTACTAGGCTTAATGCACCCGATTAACAGGAGTACCATACTGAGAGGAAAAAGAGATCTCCGCCGTATCTTTGCACCATGAAGCGGGTAAAGGCACTCTCCCAGCACCTCACCACACAGATACTGGAAGCCACAAGTCAATGCATTGGTTTTCGCGGCTACAATCAGTAAGTTGTGAGACTCTTATTAGAGCTACAGTGATGACACCGTCTGACCAATATCCCAAAGGAAGGCTGGACGATTACTTTAGATTTATAATTGCTAAGTAGTAATACTCTGTGTGACTATCCAATCGCAGACCACAAGTAACAAATATTTCACTCATCCTCCCAAACAAGGTTGCATCACGAAATTGTCAACTCAGTGGTTGTTGTACATAGTATTCCGCAGTAAATCTTTTGAAGTGCGCGTTACACTATCCCATAGACTGTCAGGTGATATTTCGGTAATTTCTTCTCATTGTATTTCGAACCGCCTCTAAGTTAAGAATTTTACGAAAACCAAATCTCGGTATTTCGGAATATAGGGAGAATCAACGAACATCAAACAAGAGTAGTGATTTCGTGCTTGTTGTGTATTACATTTCCTTTTGTGTATTTATTGTATCAAAAGCATACTTAGTATACTGTAACATGAATTATTCTAATTAGGTTTTCGGATTTTCTCCAAATCTATTTTCTGCAACTTTCATATTAGTTAGTTCTCATACTGCTGATTATATAGTTCCGAGCTCCCGAGTTTGAGGAAATCCCCAAAGTCAAATGACTTTCACCAAGGTTAGAGGTAAATTTTGTGGAAATCTTAAGGAATTTCCCCAGGTCAGGAAATTTTGGGGTTTTAGAGGCATTTTCTCAAAATTTCGCCAAATTTACTATAGCGACTTCCCTATAATCGGTCAAATTTTCCCCAAAATTCAGAGCTCCGGGTGCTTTCATCAAGTTCTCAATTCAATAATAATGATAGTAGGTCCGTCGACATATCTCAGTCCTTGAAATTTGTAATACTGTGAAGGTCCGATCTCGTTTCGAATGTGCCGATACTACGTGTTCTGGTAGGGAACTTCACTAATTCACTACTCATTGTGAGATACAAAACTCCAGACGTAAACGGTTTAATCTCAGTTTTTGAACTGTTCTATAATGTCCTTTAAATGATCAATCTTCAAATGAAGTAAAAGGTAAGACTTATTAGTACTAAGATCATTGTTTAGTATACAGTAACCCAGTATTAGATCACTCTGTAACCTGCGGTAAGATAACGGAAATAGGTTGGGGAGTCTCAGTTTTTTTGTAAAAGATAGGCCAGAGAAACTTGTTACCATTTCCGTCCTTCATCTTTGAAGTCGTTGTATATCCTCACCTGAAACATGGACCCGCTACTAAACTTCTGAATTCCAAATACGGCCTCACGAAAGTTGGTTTCAATTTGGAAAGGGCAGGAATCTTGTTGGCCTGTGCTAGTCCTGGCAACGGTGGTCTTTCAGTTGATCCCAAGCGTCGACATGATTAAAGGCCTCACGTATGGACCATAGGGTTCTAAAACATTTGGCGTTTATGGCACGGCAATATGTAGTAGTTTTTAAGTCTTGCCCAACAATGACTCCTAAGTCATTGTGCGTCTGGACGATCGGTAGCTCAATGTTATTCACCATGTGTTTATTTGTATCTTGGTGACCGATATGCATCACAATGCGCTTTGAAGCATTTATCGGCAATTTCCAGATTTCAGACCAGCCAGATAATCTCTCCAGGTCATTTTGAAACTATAAGCTATAACCTTTACTTTTTACCGCTCTCCATATCTTGACATCGTCAGGATATAGCAAGACAGATGATGATAGAAGACTAGGACGGTTGTTTACATACAAGAGGAATAACATTGGTCCCAAAACTGTACCCTGAGGCACTCCTGTAAGCACAGTTTCCCAGCTGGACAACTTGGGGTTCACCCGTACTATTTGTTGGCGTCCAACCAGGAAGTCTTTTATCCACATTAATAGATTGCCTTCAACCCTTGATAGTTCTTAACTTATATAAAAGTTGGTTGTGAGGAACTTTACTAAAAGCTTTGCTGAATTCAGTGTAGGCTACGTCTATAGGTAACTTTTGGTCTTCAAGAGCACACCGGCTTTCACGAGTCACTAATAAGCTAGCGAGACAGGAATAACCTATTCTAAAGCCATACTGCCTTTCCGAAAAGAGCCGGTTTTCATCGAGATACGTAAACAGCTTCCGAATAATTGTTTCCTAAATTTTCATAACTACGTTGGCTGGAATTACGGGTCGATAGTTTTCAGGTTTGCATTTCATACCTGTTTTGAAGTTAGGACTTACTGTGACGTTCCTACAGTAGTTTGAGAATACTTGAGCTTTACCATAGTCGTACTCCACTAATGATAAAGCTTTACTGTCTCCACATAGCGTTGGAGCATTTCCCCTTTTTTAGTCCTCCGTACTTAATGTCTAGATATGTTTTATTTTTGTCTCTCGGTATGCTCGTAATATCTTAGAATGAATCGATGTGACAAAATGTGGATTGATCATTTCCGTTTCCAATCCAGTGAAACATTTTCCAAGAGCACTTATACAGAAATACTGCTATGTAACAATCTGAACCATCTGCTATAATCGCCCCTACCTCGTTTTTTTAGAGTTGTCTACCAACACTGACATGTTTATGGCCTGGAGTAGTCCGGTACTGTCAGCCCATTACAAACAACATTTTCTTGTAGGTTTTTTGAAATCTCGTTTGGATTTTAATCCGACGAGCCACGTCATACTGTATTGAGTGCTGAGTGTGTTCTTCCCTTTTAATCCAATGAACAACTGGTTGCTGTTGAAGTTCTTTTCAGTAAGTCAGTAATAAACAACATAGAACTCGTCAAGTTGAGACACCGTGCCAGCACATCTGAATGAAGTTATGGAGACTGGTTAAAGTATTAACGGTATCATTGATAGTAAAAACGACTAGATATAAATAATATGATTTGAGGTAAAAGAATAAACTATGGGATAATTTTAAAACTAAAGATGTAAGCTAAGACAAAAATTAAATGTATATGCGCTATTGAGACTGGCTCTGGGCTTTTCAGCTGATTTTCCATAGCTGTTAAGGTCTCACGCTATTCAATTAACGATAACACGTAGGTAAATGTCGAATGCTAATGATAAATAGTTGCGACACACCTAAATTCACTTATTTGATCTTAAAATCATACTCGAACCTTTAAAACGATTCACAATTATTCGGTGTAATATCCTTCATTTCTCTTGTGTATCATATGATAACCCCAGACTTCCTTTTAGTGTTGAATCATTGCTAAAATCTATTTAAAGAACCTACGTTTAGTGTAATGAATAAACGGGATGTTTCCTGAAGTGTCATAAAATTAACAGGTATCAAAGCTTTTGAGCATTATCTGGACTTTGACAGTGAAACATATTTACGTTGTTGTAAATCGATAAAAAATACATATATTAGTCTGTAGTAGTACATAATCTGCCTTGAATTTAGTTTCTGGCTTGTAACATATCATTTAGCGAATGTTTAGGAAGGATGCAAAAAACGTATATCATCATTCAAAACTTTTACAGTTGATCCAAGGTTTCAGGCAGTAGTTAAAGTTCCAACAGCGGACAAACACTTGTCCCCCCCCGTTGCTGGATTCATTTTTGATACTTATGAAGCTACGTGGTTGCCTGATTCTATGTTTACTAATATTATCCCATCACCCAATGGTTGGTAGGTTTAATGGACTCAAAAAGCTCCGGTATGAAAATCCACTACTACGTATTATTCTAAATGCTGATCTGACCCTGTCTTATTTGTTTTATGAAATGAAGAAATGGTTTTCAAGCTTCATTTGTTTCATGTTGTATTGTATCTACTCTTGTCTTTGGTAGTCAAAGCATTTACTGCGATTGAGTTCGAAAATTTATTAGTGATATCAACTCTGTTAACATACTCCATACTGTGATAATGAATCTTCCATTAGCCCTTCGTATTTCTTCGGACTTATTGACGATTATTTTACGTAAGTTAATTCTCGTACTCGATTCACCTTGTTTTTAGTTCATGGTGTTTATTTTCTGATCAAGTACTGTGGAAGTCATAAATGGAGTTTCTTCTGTGATGATTGGAGTATCAAATATCCATATAAAGACAATACTATAACTGATGTAGTAGTAACTGTAGTTAGTTATCTCACGCCACTTGTTACAGTAAATTGTGTTCATGAGAAAATAATCTGTTTTGAAAAGATTTTCTTAGTTGAGATAATCACTGCTGTACTGAAGAAATGTACTGAAAATAAAAATTATTCAATTAAGGGTGTAAGTTGTCACTGTAACTAATCACTCATGTTATCGTTATTTATTTTCTTAGTCTTTACCATTTATCTATGATTTCTGTGTTGCCGCCCTTATATCTCTTGGAACAACGTTTTTTCTAACTACAATTACAAAATACAATCTTGGCCGGTTGAGGCCACATTTTTGGGATATTTGCCAACCAAATGTCCCTGTAAATTGTACTGGTTTGCAGACAACGTATACATGTCAGGGTACTAATTCAAAGTTGATTGCTGATGTATTGTAAGTAATCTTTTCCTTTATTCAAATCAATTAGTTCTCCCACTCTTAATAGTTTTGATTATAAGTCAATGTTATCTCAAAATAATGTAAAAACAGAGTACACTTAAAAGTTTTATTTTGAGACTGTGCAACTTATGGAGTCAAACAGTTATTTTTAACCAATTAATTCAACTCTCTTGATCTCTTCTGAGTTTTCATCTAAAAGAGCACGTCTTTCGATTGCTTTGTGTCTTTAAATGTCGCACTGCTTGCTAATATGAGTAGATATTCTGCCTACTCATGAAAAATCATGTATTCACTGTTTTCACAATACTTAAATTCGATGTTTTATGAACTAGAATTAAGAATTCTGACTTATTTTTAGGGCCCGCGTGATCGGTTTATTTGACGAGAGGGTCTACTAACGATGACTACGTTTATCCCTATCAGACCACCGACCTCCACTTGACAAATAACACGACTTGGCCAACAAAAAATGATCGTAAACAATGACTCATAAAATCCATGTTCTTATTTTTCTCCAACACACCTTTCCTCTATCCTAACATCCAGTCCTAAGTCAAGTACATCAAGCCAAGAAATCCTATTATTATCGATTCATCCGTTGTCACTTACTCAAAACTCAGAATTAATTACCTCATCGCATAGCACCACAAATTACATTGTCTGTATGACTACACCACAAGTGAAAAAACGAAGTAGTAAGTTCGTACTTAATCTACAACAATTTAGTGAAGGTAAACCATATGACAATTGTGTATGCATCAAAAAGAAGCTTACAGTACTAAGAACATAAATGACAATAATCCAGGTATTCAGTAATTACGTAGTAAAAGTAAAGAATCAGTTAGTCAGTCAGTCAGTCAGTCAGCTACAACGTAGAACCAGGCACATATGTGCATCGGTCCAGGTTGCCATACCGCATCAGCACAACAAGATGAACACCGGATTCATAGCAGTGGTTAGGTCAAAGGTAGTAATATATAAGAGAAAGATTGCATATAGAGATATAGTACAAGAAGGAAGAATTAGTTCGTAGAAAGAAAGATATGAAGTGATTTTAATCTCTTAGTTTAAGGGAAGACAGGGAGTGTATACACCGACGCCATTGTGATCGATTCTGAGCCATGTCACCAAGAGTCTCCAACCATTGGTTACGATAGTCATGCGGACCCCAACCAAGTAGTCTGCATCTAACAACATAACTGAGACTAGAAGTTAGTGGCTTCAAGTACTGATGCCACGTTTTGGTTTGGCCGCCCCAAACTTTCTTCCATCCGTCTCCAACACTAGTCAGCATTAAGCATCGTGGTAATCGGTGTTCGGGCATACGTAACACGTGACCCAACCATCTCAGTCTATGAAGATTCACAACGTCATCAACTGATTTACCATCATTCCCTAATGCCCTGCGTCTAACCTCACTATTACTTACCCGGTGATCCCAGCAGACGCCAGCAATATTTCTAAGGCATCTGTGGTCAAATACTAATAGCTTACTAGTGTCTTCTACTCTTAATGGCCATGTGTCGCTGCCGTAAATTAAAACAGAACGGACTGCCGCGCAGTATACTCGTCCTTTTATTGATAGACGGATATCTCGCCTTCGCCACAGGTGACGCAAGTTGGCAAAAGCCAAACGAGCTTTTCGAATCCGTGCTGAGATTTCGTCAGACACCAACCCATTAGGGCTGATCAGACTTTCAAGATAAGTGAAGTTGTCGACGCGTTTGACTACTTCACTCCCTATCCTTAGTTCAGGTGTTGACGGAGACCAGTCCTGAAGCAACAACTTGCATTTAGAGGGAGAGAAGCGCATTCCAAACATCCTGGCATTGTTGCTCAGTACTACCAGAAGACTCTGCATTTTGTCAGCATCTTCACCAAACAGGACTACATCATCTGCGTATTCTAAGTCGATAAGTGGACCTCCTGGTAGGAGATCAATACCCGAGAATTCAGTCGACGAGAGCGTTATTTCCATCAGTAGGTCTATGATGAAGTTGAACAAAAATGGAGAAAGTGGACAGCCTTGACGGATACCACTTGAGGTTGCAAAATCAGATGACAGTTTGCCATAAGCTTTGACTCGACTAGTAGTGTTCGAGTAAAGAGCCTTCACAAGGTTTATGTACTTCTGAGGTACGCCTTTCAATGACAGACACTGCCACAGAATCTCGTGGTCTACGGAGTCAAATGCTACTTTTAAGTCAAGAAAGACCACCATTGTCGGACGCCGATAAGTGTGCCTGTGTTCTAGAACCTGACGAATGGTGAATATGTGGTCGATGCAGCCACGACCAGGTCTGAAGCCAGCTTGATTCTCTCGTGTTTGCAGTTCACGAGTCTTAGTTAGGTGTCTGATAATTATCGAGGCTAGTATTTCAGATACTATATTAGTTAAACTAATCCCTCTATGGTTGTCACAGAATGATTTTAACCCTCTCTTATATATTGGGACGATAAGTGATTGTGACCAGTCAGATGGGATAACGTCTAACTCCCAGATCTTAGCTAAAATATTAGTCAACCTAATCGCTAAAATTGGACCACCATTCTTAAAGACCTCTGGGGCCAATCCATCTGGACCAGCTGCCCTTCCTCGTTTCAGATTAACTATAGCCTTTTGAACTTCAGCAAGAGTCGGGGGACCTACTTCAATGTTCCATTCACACTGTCGGGTAATGGTGGGTAGTTGTAGAGTAGCTGAAAGCCATCTGAACTGTTCTCTAAAATGTTCCACCCATCATTCTAAACGTTTGGACTGGGAGCAGATGAGGGTGTCGTCTTTTTCCGAAATAGTCTGACTCACACCTGACTTCTTAATTCCAGTTTCTTTTATTAGTCTGTAGAGGTGTCTTGTGTTCCCTATAGCAGCCGCCTTTTCCATCGCTTTCGCTGCTCACCACTGCTCACGGTCGTTTCTTAGACTTTTGCTTAACCTAGATCTGATTTGTTTACACTCTTCATCGTGTTCAGAGCCTGATGGGATGAGTTTGCGAGAATCCATCAGTGCAATAGACCTTGAAGAAATCCATTGGTTCTTTGTAACCCTGTGGTTTAAATCACTGATAGATGTCACTGCTGTTTCCACAGCAGTTTGTATATCTTTCCAAGCAACATCTGGGTCAACCTCGTTTTCAGAACTACCTAATTGTGACCTCAGTTTTTCCTGGAACCTACTTTTGGTTTTCTCGTTACTCAACTCAGTTCTAATGGGTCTTTTTAATGTGGCTTTTTTGCGTCCAGTGAGGCGCAAGCAGATGCGTGCCCGTATTAGGGCATGGTCGGAGTCCAAGCAGGTACTCCAGAATGAGCGACAATCTTCTACCGACCCTCTCCAACGATGACTGATGGCAATATGGTCTATTTGAGTCCATCGTTGGTTTGTTGTAGGGGGTCGCCATGTTAGACGATGTCTCTCCTTATGCTTAAAATTTGTGTTTGTTAAAAATAAACGATTGTCTGAGCACAGTTGCAGCAGACGACCACCATTACCTGTTCGTTGTGCCGGAATACTAAAATACCCACCTAAATGCCTTTCTGTTTGGTTTAAACTACCTATCTGAGCATTAAAGTCACCTGCTACGAGTACTATGTCTGAACGTTTAGCTTTCTGAAGAAGTTCAGATAGCTTTCTGTAAAATTCATTTTTCACTTCATCCGAGCTGCAGTCGGTGGGTGCATGGGCGGAAACGACAAAAAGGCAACGACGTGTATCCCTATCCTTCTGAGTTCTTACGGAGCCGTTTAGCCGAACAGCACATAGACGACTGTTAACGGGTATCCAGTCTAACAGTGCTTGTTCCGTCCTCATGCTTAGTGCTATACCCACACCTGTCAGTCCACGAGAGCGGCCGTCGGGTCACCAGATACACGGAGGGTGTATCTCGTTGGCTCTCCGTTTTGTCGAGATGAGGTCAAGTGAATGACCACACTGGGATCCTGTATGCGTGTTTCAGAGACACAGCATACATCAATGGTGCGAGATTCTAGGGTTCTAGCCAAGGAAGCCTGTTGACCGATTTGACATAGGGTGCGTACGTTGAAGGCTCCAATGTGTAGTTTGGAGCGAGCTTTCAGTAGACCTGGGACAGTGTTTTGAGCACTACATTCGTTTGCTATGGTGACATTTGAGGAGGAAGCCTAAAAATGAAGTTTAGAGGTGAAAGTCGATGTAGGAGGAATAATAGAAAGTGAAGACGGAGGTTGATTATGAATACAGTGGTCTTGAGTGCTGTTAGAGGTATGAGGGCGGTTATCACTTCCCGGTTGCCCACACCGTAGAAGGGTTGTTCTGGAGGTACCTGAAAAGGAAATTCGATTAAAGGTGGTCTTAGTGACCCGAGAGCGTGACCGCAGTGCCCAAGGGACAACTGTTTGAGGTCGGTCACACACGACATTTTTGTGAGTAATTTTTGTGTTAGCTCCGTACTTTTTGGGACCTTACCGCTGGAGACGGATATCCGTGGGATAAGGCGAGGTGTGCATTTTTAGGGTCGACCTTTTCTAACCCCACCCCTCCTTGTGGGAAGGCAGCATCGCTGTCATGCTGGTTGTCCGAAGGAAACACCTTACTGCTGTCACACCTCTGTACAGTCAGCAGTACGACTTCGCCTTCGGACCTTGGGTTTGTTGCTTTTAGTCTTACCGCTGTTCAACCGACCTGTCTGACATGGTAGGACCTTGAGGAACGGTTGTTCCAGCCGGTATAGCTCGGTTGCTTGATCACGATAGTCAAGCCCGACCACCACGTCAAGGTAGCAACAACGGTCGGGAAAAATAAAGAATAGTAACTCGTGATATGTTAGTTCTAAAAGTTCCAACTTTCTCAAGATCCTTTCTATCCTAACACAATGGAATTAAATACATAGTTTTCTGATTTTAGGTCCTATCCGTAATGCTATTCTACAACTTACAACAGTCATGCTAACTTCCCTAATTAAAGCCAGGTACCTACTCTAGAACAAGAGGCTATACTAAGAACAATTTACCATCTTTGTCAGCACCCAAAATTGGCTCGATTACTGTCTTGAATGAAAATAATGCAAGACACAAACATTAATTTTGCATTATTATTTAATTAAAAGCTCAGAATATTCATATTCTGTTTTATCGAATCAACTTTCAAAAACTGGAAAGTTTATTCATATGAATTCATCAATATACATTGTAAGAGTTCATCAAATTCGATCATTTCACCAAATATTGTTCAATCGTTTCATTCAAGATCAAACTTATGAATTACGATAGCAATACAATCATTTACTTAAATTTTTTTATTAGATTTGTTACTTCATCTTCATAGTTTTACTAAATTAACACAAAAATCAACTTAACTAAAATTACATTCATGTCATTACATACTTACACTGAACATCTTTCTAATAAATCATATTTAATAATTTAACATCAACAATATTCTTTTGCTTTGTCATTATTATTTTATCTATTTAGTTTGTCATTCATGTCAGGCCATGCATCAACAGCTTCTGCTAGTTTATTCTTCACTGTGGTAGGTTGATTTATTTTAAAAATGACCTTTTAAACTGTACTTCGTTATGAATTAGGTGAGTAATGATTGTCCTTATGGTTCGGGTTTCATTCATCTTCAAGAGGTTTATATACTAGTTAAGATTATTAAGCTGTACAATAGATGTGGCTTGTGACTTAATATACAAACATGTTTGAAATCGCGTTTAAGTTTTATTATTATTATTATTATTATTATGAGGTGAGCTGTGTAGTGGTTACTTTCACGTAAATACGGTTTATTGCATCGTAAAGATTAAATGAGTTTAACAAAACATTAGAATATGTGTCCTAAAGGAGGATTTTATTGTTTATGACGCAAAGCATTTTGGGTGGTTCAGATAAATTAGTGGAATTCTGATCCATAAATCCTGTGCGATGATGCAATATCATAGACTGATAACTACACACTAAATTGAATTATCGATGAAAAATTTCCAATGGAACTGCTTTTAAAAGACAAGACAACCAGCCAAAAGCTTGATTACATGTCATTTAACAGATAAGTGAACAGGCGATAATAGTTTCTTAGGTCACTCACTAATCAAATAAGGACCCTTGTATCAAGCTTAATTCTTATTCGAAATATCGTCATAGTTGGTTGGCAAGGTCAGAGTTGATACCATTCAAGAATAATAATTGTTTTGGGTTGTAGAGATTAGTAAATCCATAATCCAACCATTGTATAAGATTGCTGGTGAGGTCGTGGATACCCACTTTTAAAGGGTCCCATACTAAAACGAAACACATGTCTAATGATTCTTAGTTTTCAATGGTTGTCTTACTAAAGCCAGTTCATGATGTAAAATAATAAAATAATTGTTGTATTTCGCCACATGAAAAGCGGCATCGTGAACTTTGGAAATCAATTAGTTAGAAAGTGGAAAAATACAATCCCTGATTAATGGCATATTTTTCCAGGAAAATGACAAACTTTTTGTAAAAAGGGCAGTTTGAATGAATGCTAAACTTATTACATTTTATACGTATATATAAAGATGTCTCTATTTAATCTTAAGGCAATAATAAAGAACTTAGAACCTGATATAAATATACATCAGCCAATTTTCCATCGGACTTCACGTCAACACAGAGAAAGTCAATAAGTTAGTCATCAACGTGATCGATTACAGTGGAAAGCTAAACACATTTAAGATATAGCTAGGATAAAATCGATTAATAACGATTATGATATTAAGACTCAATATTCAAACTGTGTCTAACTAGAGACATAAGATTTTTGACTTTCTAATCTATATAAGGTGGACTTAGTACTGACACTGTGTTGTTATGCATACAATTTTCGCCAACCTCATTTTAATTAACTTCAACATATTGATCACACCTACTTACGTTTGACAAAAAGATAGATATGTTCATTTGTGAATTGAGTTGTAAACTGTAATATCTTATCAGAATCCTGGTGGCATGGCTGTTTGTTGTGACTGAGTAACTTTTGCTAGTTGTTCAGTGAAAAAAGACTAATTGAAAGAAAAATGCAAGATTATAGTTGAAGATTTACTTATGCACCGTCTATTGATTCAAATGACATTTTAAAAAGAATACAATGAAATATCTATCATTTTAAATCTCCGATTAATCGATAAATTTACATATATATTGATCTAGCACTAATTGACAATAATTAATCAATAGATTAACTACTTTTATTAACAAATGTGACTAAATTACTGTGCTAAATATTTTATTTTTTGCTAATAAAAACTATACTAATTTTTTTATGTTGAAGTAATTCATTCGTAAATTAATCAACTTGTCAGTATTGTCTTCTTTTTCGAGTTCAATGTAGCTAGTTATTGTTACTTTCCAGGGTTTTCTAAAGTACTTTTTGGTCAATCTATTAATGTTTAGTGACAGAATAGAGTTATTTACAGTACATCTAACTTTTCCCTATTGTCTTTTTTTTTAAAAAAAGATAAACACGTATATTTTAGATGCTAAAATATACGTTAATCCAACACCAAATTTATTACTTCTTTTACAGATTTATTTACAGGCTCGACTGCATCTACCTGTAATACCTTTCCTACGACCATTTCTGCAATACGTTCTGCTTTCTGTTTTGTTTTATATATGCGCCACACGTGTAACTGATCATTATCATCATCCAACAGATGTATTAGCTGGAGCTATATTAGGTCTTTTGACTTCTGTCTTCGCCGTAAGTACCTTCTCCCTCTCTAAATTACCGTTCAGAAATGGAAATTTTTTGTACTGGTTCTATCCAACTTTTAATTTATAAACTTAAATCATGTAAAAGATGTTTTAAGATGTATTTCCAAGTGATTTAAATAATTGTAATGAATCTACAATTGACTCTCGTTGAACTTGAACGAAAAGTCGCAATATGCTAATTAGTCGACTTTCAATCAACCAGTTCTCGTTTGCAACTCGAAAATTCAAAAAATTGCTATGTGAATTCTAATGTTTTTCCTGCTGGGTCTTTGATTTTTAGGTTTATTAGAGTGTATATTGTTGAATTATTGTTCTGATTTGGAAAGATTTTATTGAAATGGTGTCCAAGGAATAATGGACAGTAGAATAACTCAATACATTAATATTCTCAGGTCCTAAGAATATTGTATGATAATAGTGATGTATTGCGAATTGACTGAAACTAATAAATATAAACAGTTTAATCTAGACTCAGTGTCTAAGTGGTATGTGGAGCTCACTTTGAGAGGCCTTAATGTTTCTAAGTTTGATTCCATGTAGAGAAGTAGGCGCACACTTCTGGTGAATCTCAACCTTGAACTAAATGTCTGTCCATTTATCTTTGGTTTTCATTCACTCTATATTTGATATCAGTTACTGATGAAAGTTATATTCAATTTCTTTTTGTTTTGTTTACTGCTTAGTAGTATGGTATGGCGTGTTTCTCATCATGAATTGATAACAGCTAGAGCTAAACGCTTCGTATTTTTGACTTCAGTTATTTCATGATATAGGGCGACAAATATTCAATGTACTTCTGGTATATCATTTTCAAAATAGTTTAATACTATCAGTCATACTGAGTAACAGTTCGCTCTGTATCCCTCTATGACTGTAAAACATGGCCTATGAAATTAAATGTCATGCATAGACTACAAATTTTTGATCATAAGTTTCTTTGAAGTATTTGCCGCGTATCATGACACGACCGATTGAGCAATGTTGAGGTTAAGTATATGGTACAAAGAGGAGATTAAAAATTGGTTTATTAGAGTATGAATCTTCAACTTAGGTCTTCAACCACTGTCTATCTCAACATGTAAATTTGGCTACAGTAAGAGATAGTTGAAAAATCGGTGTGGTCAAACTAGGTAGGCATCAATTCATGGAGTCACTAACTTTTTGTTGGTCTAAGCCAAATTAATAAATTCAGAGTACCTGATTAGGATCCTTGAGGTTGTCGCTGCCAGTTGTTGGAGACAGGGGTTATGTGGGTTAAATTCAGTTACGCAAGGAACACTTCCACTCATTATCTTGCCTCAGATCATGTACCAGGCTCTACATTTATTATAGCTGACTGATCAATCAGTATGTTGTATTTGAACTTACGGGTTCCATGTTAAAGTTAATCCATGATGATAATCTTTGACCAAATTGAAGTAATATCAACAAAGCATTAAATTAAACAAACAAGTTTTTAACCATCTATTTTGTTTACCCGTCTAATCTGAACACATAATATTGAATAAAGTCATTATTATCATTAATTACTGGATCAGGACCTTCAAACTTCAACCACTAAGATCGTTTTCAATAATCACATAGTATATAAGCGTGTACTATACAAGTGAGCTACGACTACCCAATTAAATATATCAATAAATTCATTTCATCATATCTATCTTGCTTATCAGCCTAGTTTATACAATTAAAGGTTTAGATATCTCATAAAAATGATGAAGACACTTTTTTTAGAGGTTAGTCATCTTTTTATAGTATAATGTAAAGAATATTGATTAGAAACCACGTGTTGTACCAGGTCTGATCTTTCACAATAGTTGTCTCTACTTTTCTACTAACTTGTTCTTGACATTCTCCATTCAGGTTTTTTAAACTATATTATATGAATTCATAGTGTGAATGAAAAAAGTAACTTCTGCTTAAGGAATAAAACTAGGTAGATCACTAACTATTCAATACCTTAGACATTTAGCCGTATTTGTGTTGTACATACAATGCATGAATGTCATAAACGTGTCCAATACTATAATCAGTAAGCAGTAGAACAGAAATTAAATAGTCATCCACTAGTTCCATTGAACTAGCAATTATTGATTATTTTGTATTCGTTTATTCATCTCCTTAATTTAACTCTTGTCTCCGTTTCTCACAATTTGTATGAATTGATAGAACGATGAAATTTTGTTCTATAGTTTATATTTCACAGAACAAAAAATACTTATTTGAACGGTGTGTTGTCAAACAAAAGTAATGTATACCGTACACACAGATTTTAGTACAATCATTTAGATTAATTTGATGACAACATGTAATTATTAAATATGATGTTATGAAGAGTTCAATAATCTGTTTTTCTTGGGGGTGTCGTGTGGAAATAAATTCACCAGTATTTTGTAGGTGATATTGCCATTTTTTAAAACTGTATTGTAACTATTTGTAAACATAGTGTGATAGCATTTAGTGATGACCAGGAATGGAATCTAGAGCTTTTTAGTTAAGTGTATACGTGTGTTCCAATAAGTGTTGATGTTATTTTCAATCTATCATGTATTGATTTGTAATCCAGAGTATTTGTTCAGTAAACGAATAATTCTACATGTGTAGATATGACACTGCACGTTTTAAAAACAAAAAATGTAGTTTTTTGCTAATAAAGTCTTATTTTACATAGTTGATTGAAGGCTGTTCAACATTAGCACAGTTGAGACATTATTCCTGTATGATATTCATCTTATAATCACATTAAATCTCGAGATGAAATTTTAACGACAATCCACCGTAATCATTTGTTTGTAAAACTAGCTCAATGTACTCATTTATTTTAACACATAGATATTGGTACAAGGAGGCACCAAATACATATGCGCCACACAAATCTCATTCGATATGTGTGAGGGCTGTGATACTGCCCGGGTGCCCAAACCGAAGCAGGTGGTTTTATTAGGAGGCCACTCCCCGAGCCTTCGATCTGAAGGTCTGATCCACAAGGCAGTGGAGCATCGTAAGGAGATATAGTCCCATGGCAGTCGGTGACCAACAATTAGTTCATACGCCATTTGTTCCCGCAGGATACTGGAGCCCATGTGCACCATTGGTTTGGAATCCAGTTAAAGCGCCGGACATTCGCTTTTCGTCCTCTTATTTTCGTAAACAACACCCTCGCCACGAGAAGGCAATGAGTAGGACTTCCCTGACAGAGGCTATGTACGCGTGGCCATGTGAGAGCATTTCGATAGGGAGAGCGGACTCTCGGCCGGTTTAGTTCAGATTATCAAATCATTTTGTGGTCCATCGAACAACTGTCGTTGACAAACGCTACATCTAAACATATTATGATGCTATATTTTCTTAAAGTGATCACATTTTCATACAACGAAATAAGAAAAAAATGGGTGGTGGCTAGCAGTGGAATCTAAGACGCGCGTTTCGTCCTATTCGGGACTCGCCAACTGGATGTACCTGCATCCCATACTTGATGTTCACTCCAGGACTCGAACCCAGCACTGTTCTTTTCGAACACCATCGCGTTATCCACTTAGCTACTGAGCCCATACAGCCACTAGTTTGTGCTGGTACGTCCGGCTGACGAGTCCCAAATAGAATGAAACGCGCGTCCTGGATTCCACTGCTAGCCATCATCCATCTTTGCTTATAATGCTTGTAAATTAAGGCAATATCGAGGCGATTCGCACAGGATGCGCATATGCTAATAAGAGACTGATCATTTGCAGTCCTAAAATCAATAGGAAGATTAAAACAAACAATACAAAATGAATTAATACAACGAAATGTATATAATGAGCATGCAATTAGCGATAGAATAGCTTTATTTGAGATCATTAACCGATCAATGTTAGACTACCATCGAAAACCTGGAGGTGCTGGACGGCTGTTTCGTCTTGGTGTGGGACTCCTCAGCAGTGCACGTCCGCAATCCTGCACGTGGGGTTCGGACCCAGGACCTTCGGCCCCGCGCCTTAACGTTTAAACTCTAGACCACTGGGCGGGCATCCAGCGGCTTTAATGTCTAACTTCAACCAACCCATGATATTGCGCAACCATCTTCCATTGTCTTCGGTAGGTAAATGTCTCTCACCGAGGTTTTTTAGTGGTGGTCTGACATTGATCGATTCATGATCTCAATCAAAGCCTAACAATTCACACAACCATATACTGAGAATAGCTTTAATTGTTACCTCCAAATATAATTATCGTTTATGAAATAAAATCCATATCATACACCATTTCCACCTTCGATACACAAGACAATACCTAAACCTGTTACTCATTTCTGTTTTCCTTATTTACCTTTTCCACTTTTTATTTCTGCAGTTTTTTTGGTATTTGGGTAACGTGTTCAGTCAAAACGAAAGTGTTAAAACATCTCCCTAATAAGCTGATGCTGCAGTTCAGGATACCGCTTCCGGTCATTGGCTACAAAAAAAATTGGAAGTGGAGTTACTTCTTTTCCTTTAACAAAGATTTTGATGACCGTAACTTCGTGATGCATATCCCTTTATAAGTAATAAAATTCCTGCTTACTTGTTCTATAAATTCCTTTTTTTATTCCATACCTAGACTAATTTACTACTTTGATCAGTTTCAATTTTTTAACGCTAAATAAATGGTGTATGTTCGTTTTTATTGTTGAGGTTGTTTGCGTGAGCGTTTAAAACAATTATGCAAGTGGTTATAGAATTGATTCCTTTCGGATTGTTTTATCCATAGGGTTTTCTGTTCCCTGAATAATAAAAATTCAGTATACCCTTCGTCCATACATACGTTTTTTTTGTTTCGTCTTTAACCGATGTGTACTGATTTCAAACAAGCTCCCCGTTTTTATTGTATCACCTAATCGATTCAGTTTATCACTTCATGATGCAGTGAAAATCACTAACCATGCAAAACAGTCATTGTGCATCGGGGGTTACAGGGTGTTAAAGAATCTAAACCAAATAATAATACTTAAAGTTATGGCTCTTTTCCGGTAGTTATTTTAGGAATCGTGATACGCATTTTCATAAAATAAATGTTACCGCCAAACTCATAAATGATATGATCCAAATTGGTGCAGATATGTAACTTACTGGATTAGCGAGGTGATAATACTTGTTTTTACTAAAGAGACGACTAGTTGTTTGGGACGATAACTTGGCATTCGAAACGGACAAACACCAATCCATCATAGATCTGAGACAGTCCGTCTTGCAGTTAGCTCAAACTAGGTATCAAAGAGTTTCGCACATTACGTAATTACTTTTCCTCCTAGCTATTTCCGTTTGTTGGTATTTTAAGCTTGTTCAACATTTTATTATCGTTGGTATTACTATTGAAGGTATATTCTATACTGCGTGTCACTCATGATACAATAGACTTTATCACACCTATTTTTCGAATTCTCATCCCCTATGTTGACAATCGTGACTGTACATCTGTCGGTGAAATGCATTTTCGCTAACATACATGTAAGCTGACATGCACTTAACGTCGGAAGACATTTTTAGTCGCCGAAATTTATTAACGTGAAATGAAGTTGAAAAGCCAATGAGTTTTACAAACGGTTAGTTTTCTATTACTTCATAATATTGACAGTTCACTTTTACTCATTATGTAACTATACAGTGCAACATGGATAGAAATAATCCCGAGTTAAGTGGCATATTTGTTTAAACATTCGTACACAAGAATAACTCTGTGGTACATTAACGTTATCACTAAGTAAACATTGTAGAACGAAGTATACAATCTGGGAATCAGTGATTAGAACTAGTTACAAAAAGAGCAAGATCGTGGTGAGAAAATTTAACTCAATTCACAATCATTCTTCTAATGAAAAGTATTTACATAATGCATGGCTTCGAGGACTTTGCAAAATCGGATTGCAGCACCTCAATCTCCCTATTTTGGGGAAAAGCTATCAAAACCCCGAAAATTTCAAGTTATTTTGTGTAAATTTTGATTTTCCTCTAATATTTCCGAAAACTTTGGAGAAACCAACTCATATTCTTTGATAAAACCCCAAAAATTCCTCAACGTTTTGGCGAAATCATTGAGAACTAATCAGAACTTTCGCCGTATTTAGACATTTTTCTTTTTTACTTGTAGTTTATTTTGCAAATTCAACACAATTCTAAAACTCATGCCTATATTCTTCATGTAAATGTTTATGTTGCCGTCCCAACTGATTTACTTTTAACGAAATCTCATTCTCTACTTCTTAAAATTCTTGAAGAGAAGTTAAAATACCGGCCAGTAGTGATTCCACAGAACAAGCTGTATCGAAGCATTTAACCAACGTCCATGAAAGTCCTTTTAGTTGAATCTGAAGTGGTCGATCAGTTAGATCGAACGCAACCACAATATAATTCTTCCACTTTGACATTTGTCAGTGATTTTCCAATGACCAAACCAAGTTCGACTTCATGATGGACTTCCCCGGTCCCATTTGGCAACTTAATTTCTACCCTTTCAACTATGCATCTAGGTTTTAAAAAGATTCAACTTTATTCCCTAGTTTTTTTGCATGGTCTGCATGGTTTCGTCCGGCGCTTTAACTGAGCCGATGGACACGGTGAGTCTATCTAGGGGAGTTGGGAAACCCTGATCCCAAACCAATGGTGCACATGGGCACCAGGATCCTAAGGGTACCAATTGTTGGTCACCGACTGCCATGGGACTGCATCTCCTCACGATGCACCACTGCCTTGTGGGTCAGACCTTCAATTCAAAGGCTCGAGGAGTGGCCCCCTAATAAAACCACCTGCTTCAGTCTTGGCAGCCGGGCAGTATCATAACCCTTACACAATTAAAATGAAATGACAGCGGTTATTGGTTATAATACTCTCACTCCTATTACAATTCAAATAACCCATAACCATTTGGTAACCTTCACTTTCATTTTTTATGTACTACCTCACTTATCCATTCACTTCCATTCTCACCTTGCATATCCTTACTTTTCAACTTATACAGCAGCTCGCTTATGCTGGAAATTATTTCTATCTAAACGATCTCGAGTCACTGACTGGTTGAAAATTGTATGTTACCACCGAATATAAATACTGAAGCAGTTTTTCTGAAACCACGTGCATCATTCAAACTGGCTGCCTTCAACTTTCGCACACTTATGCAGGTCGGACAACAGATAGGGATGGCTATGTCTTTAGAAAGTCTTAATATCGATGTTTGTTGTCTATCCGAGACCCGTATTCAAGACTCTGGTGAAGTACTACAAATTCGCTCTCGATCTGTCGCTTCGAAAAGCTTGTTATACGTGCGCTTATCCGGGGACCCTGTGGCATCTTCGTCTGGTCTTGCTGGCGTTGATGTCGCACTAAGCGCTAGAGCTGAGGCAGCACTAATCAATTGGATCCCCATTAACAGTCGGTTATGTGCTGTTCGATTAGAAAGTTCCATCAAAGTGAGAAGAAATCGGTGTGAGAAACGGTGTCTTTTCGTCATCTCCGCCTGTGCTCCGACAGATTGCAGCTCAGATGCGATCAAGAATGAGTTTTACCACCAGTTATCTGTTCTTCTCCAGAAAGTGCGTTCGACAGATATTGTAGTACTAGCCGGAGACTTGGATGCTCAGGTCGGGCGTCTAGGCAAAGAAGAGAGTAGTTTAGGTGGCCGATGGGGACTTGTTGGTCGCAGGACAGATAACGGGGACTGTCTACTGCAAATATGCACAGACCACAGCCTGTTTCTGGCTAGCACTAACTTTCAGCACAGTCATCGCCGATGTGCCACCTGGCGTCCTCCCTCTGCATCTCAAGCCTGGACTCAGATTGATCACATCGCGATCAGCTACCGCTGGCGTGGTTGTGTACAAGACTGCCTCTCCTTCTGGAGTACCTATCTGGACTCTGATCATGCCTTGGTCTGTGCCAATCTTACCTTACGTTTCAGTGGACAACGAACTGACCGCCACCAACGGATTAATTTTAGCAAGCTGGTTGAAACTTCTGTTGCTAGTAAGTATCGAATTGAGCTAGCTTCTAGGCTAGTTATCATTCCACCGAAAAGTATAGATGAACATTGATTTCAACTTCATGACACCATGAAAATGGAGAGTAAAACCGCTTGCGGCTGCACGAAACGTCCCGCTTATAAGCACTGGGTTTCTTCAGGCTCCTTACAACTCGTCGAATCCCGTCGATTCACTCCGGGTGACCGTGAGTTTGACCATAAACGAAGGATGTTACGTAATGAAACCGGGAAAAGCTTGCGTAAGGACCGAGAAGCCTGGTAATTAGAGCGTACCAATGATTTAGAAGCAGAAGCTACATCTGGTAACTACCAGAAGCTCTTCCAATTCATCTGGGTCACTGACAGCAAGAAGTCTGATTTGAACGAAACAATCTATGAAAATGACGGGATGCCAATCACTAACATCCATCGACGTCTTAGACGATGGGCAGAATTCTCCGAAGGGCGGTTCAACTGGCCTGCTGCTCCGGCAACACCGGTCGAACCGTCCTGCCCTCCATGGCCCGCGACGACTGATCCACCATATGAGGCGGAAGTCCGCAAGGAACTCCAACTCTTGAAACGCTACAAATCACCGGGCCCAGATGACTTACCTCCGGCTCTTTTTAAAGGTGATGGTAGATTTCTGATTAGGGAACGGACTACGTTGTTTACATCCTCAAAGCCCTATATACAAACACCTCAGGTAGTGAGGGCATACAGCCACCTTTCTCAATTCTTCCATTTAGGCTGTGTGGTTAGACATGGTTGCACAGTTTCACTGTTCCTCTTTGACTTTGTCATCGACGGTGTTGCAAAAATAACTGATGTCTGTAGGCAGTAGTTGTGTGGATCTGTTGTCTGGGAAAAACTTTCCGACCTGGAGTATGCGGATGATGTTGTCTTACTGTGCGATGTTACCGCAGCCACACAACCGGCACTTAACCGGTTGGCGGATAGTGTCCCCAGGTATGATATGTGCTTTGCACCTTCCAAGTGCAAAGTCCTTTTACAAGACTGGCAGGATCCTAATCCTGCACTCACTCTAAATGGTAAACAGATAGAAGTAGTCGAGAAGTTCGTGTATCTGGGTAGCTGCATAAATGCTGGTCGTGTGAGTGATGAAATCAATTCACGTATATTGAAAGCCAGAGCGTCTTATGTCCATCTGGGCCATCTTTGGCGCTTTCGTGATGTCAGTCTAGCTGTAAAAGGTAGGATCTACAACGCTTGTGAAACCTGGCCTCTCCGAGTTGGGGATGATAGACGACTCTCTGTGCCTGATCTTCGTTGTTTCCGAAGGATTGCTGACATCCAGTGGCAACATTATGTTAGTATTGCAGAGGTTCGGCATCGTGTGTTCAGGCACAGAGATGAGAATTCAATTGGTGTCACCATCTTGAAACATCGGCTTCGGTGGCTTGGACATGTTTCACGAATGTCGTCTCAGAGAATTTCTCGTCGTGCATTGTTTGCGGACACCAGGACTGATTGGAAAAGCGGAGAAGTGGTCAGTGTATGACATGGTGTCGTGGTATGAAAAAAAGCTGTGCAGGACTGACTTCTGTTGGTCCTTCACGATTCCCTTGTTGGGGTCCGAGAGACGGTGCAACACAGTGGCTAGAGACGTTATCAGATATGGCTCAGAATAGAAGCCAGTGGTGATCCTGTTGTAACCTTCTTTTAGTTTCTTCCTTAACTGATAGAACTCTTTCTGGTCGTACCTTTTTATTTCCCCCATTATTATTATTATTACACTACCACATATTGATCTGTGGTCGCTACTGTTCTCTTTTATCCTTTCTTCTCTCTTATACTCACCTTACATTCTTTTTCTCTTCCCGTTCGCATTGTTATTTTGTGGCGCTTATATATCTGGTGCCCCCTTGTGCCATTATTTGTGTTCAAACAAATAAATAAATTCGTCCAACTACCACTATTTTTCGACAAATGTCCTCCAGACTTTTTGACATTTCCACACAACATTCTTCGTGCAAGTTAGAATATTTAAACAGTCTAAGTCTTCATTACGCCACTGAAAACACCGGAAAGGTATGCCAAACCTCCCTTTTGAAAAAACGTACCGTCTTTCTGCGTTACCCATCAACGAGCATC